ATGCATGAATGCGTTTTATGCTGTGTCATTGGGTGAGGTTGCAATGCAGGGCACGCCCCAAGACACAGAGTCCGGATTCAAAATGCGGAGAACCGTTGGCAACACACATGGACAAGAAGCTTTCCAGCACAGGGCAACGTAAACAAATTTGCAAATGGACGAGAGTGTCTATTTCTGTAAGTGTGTGAAGGTGAACGTCTGTTGCCGTTGATGTATTGGTGCGCTTTATAATGCATTAAGTTCGCATCAAGTCGCACAAAAGTGCCAGCTGCAAACTGCAAACTGCAAACTACAAACTGGGCGAAGAGCTGAAATCCAAAGCTGAAGAGTTTCGGATTTTCAAGCTTAAAACAAAATGTTCATCTTAATATGCAAACATTTTTGCAATGGGAATCGGCGAGTAAAATGAAATTTCGCTTTTCGCCAAAAGTAAAAATGCGACAAAGGCTACAGATTAAAAGTCTAAATTGCTTGCATATGAACCCCTCCAAAAGCCACTCAACGCGAAATGAAATGACTCCATGTGTGGCATCGTGGCCCTTGGAATGGAAATCTGAATGGTTCAAACTAGACTGCATATGAACTTCTACATGTACATGGGAGTGTGTGGGTGAGTATGCGGATAAGGTTCAAGCGTCTCGGATTTTCATTTCACTGGACTCGACTTTATTGAAAGAGGTGGACTTCCACAGTCATGGATTTCAATTGGGGAGTTTACGGGGATAGTTAATGCCAGTGGATACATTGTTCAAAGCGGAACCACGAAAGGTGATTAGAAGTAGGCAGAAATAGAGACAACTGGTCGAGTCTCTGCAAGGCAATGCTGCCAGTTGACATCTGTGACCAGATTGGGTTCGTGTTTCGTAGTTAACCTATTCCACGTGTATGAAGCGTAGCGAAATGAAAATTGGAATGCGAATAGTAGACGTATATTGGATCAAAGAAAAAATTAAGTGGACCTGATTCATGAATACCTTGGCAGGCATTTCAATAAAGTGACTACAGTGAATATATGATGGTAAATTAATTTGATTTAAATATTATTGTGTATAAAAAGCTGTCACAACTTGGAATTCTTTATTATGAACTCAACATTATTAAAATGTATTTTTAATTCACTTTGTATTCAGTCCAGGAAACGTCATGTTATATGTTGCAATACATCCCTGGCAGCTTGTGAAAATAATAATGTCTGTGCAAAAAATACATAGTGTGTATTCTTTATTTCAAAAATATACTATTTTAATGATATTGTCAAATGAAATGTATAAAATATAATGCAAATGTATGCGGACTAGATAGGGATTCCTTATCGCCAGAGCGGATATTTGCTTATTATATATGAATTTTGCATATTCTGTATTTAAATATATGTTTCCAAAAATATTGCATTTAAAGTCATTTTTCCCCATACCGCTTGGGAGTACAAACATTAGTTTCCAATCTATTTAAACACATTTAATATCTAGCGTAAGTCTTCAATATATTTTATCATGGTGTATAATATAATATATATAAGAAATTGTGGGGGACGCAGCTAAAGACTGTGATGAACGAGAGATAACGAGGCTTCAGAACTAATTCTTGTGGATTGGCAATAAGCACACTGAGACTCTCTGTGGATAGCACCCTAAATACGAGTGAAAAGAGGGATTTTAAATCAAGTACACTCAATGCATTGCTACCCCTAATTGCGTAAGAATAATAATAATAAGTAATAATAATAATGGTATATAACCATGATTTCCAGAGCATAATTCCCTGAATACCATGCATAAGAGTTTAATCAGATGAAAGCAGTAATATATTTACTTAATAGCAATGAAGCTGTCTTTTAGTTCGTCCAAAGACGAACTTAGTTGCTAGTACTTAGTTGCAGTTGCTCATTTTATACTGCATAGGATATTGTAATTGTGTCCTGAAGTGTGTAACGCATTGAAGGAAAGACATTTAATCACATAAATTATATACAAATATTTCTATACATAAATGAATTATAAATTCCGTCTGTTTCTAGGAAAACTAATCTCTCAATTATCTTGATAAATTAATTATTCAAGTAATGTTTCCAAATTGTTAGGCTTTATTTAAGTGCTTATTTTTAACTCTGCTTAACGCATGGCATAAAGTAACTGACATTAAGTTTTTGGGCCACATTAAATATGCAAAGTATCCTGAATATCTTGGGCATAAAACTTTATTTATAGTCAACTGCGCTGCTAAAAATAACGCACAGGAATAATCACAATTGTTTTGACACTTATCTTGTCTGGGGTGTGTGATCAAAACAAGAACTAAACTTAACAAATTTAGTTGTTTAGCATAGACCTTATTTTCTGTTCTTTCTTGTAGATTGTGGTAGATGGCCTTGAATATTTATTCTGATTTTTGATTGCGATTTGCGATTTATGTCGATGACAAACGGCACGAGGAATAATCTAAAAAACTGCATCAATGAGAGGCAAAAGTATTTAGAAGTTCGGCATTTAGACCAAATTCAAATTAATAGTGATTATTGATACTAACCATATGAAATGAATTTAAATATATATTCAAAATGGCATATAAACTAAATAATTTACGCTCAGTTTGCCTTAAGGTTTCTGTGCATTTATCTAATAGAATACAAACTGAAGACATATTTGTCGACGCAGAAATGAAGAGTTCTTTCTAAAGATAAAAGCAATATAAAGAAAGTGTAGGTGGATTACCACAGACACATTTAATGGAGGAACAACTTTCAAACTCTTGCTAATGACAGCAAAGCCAAGTAACCAACGCTAATTTCCTGTGATTGCGTGTTCATCTGCATATGTGCATGTTTGTCTGCTCATAGCTGTTTGTGTGTCTGTGTACATCTTATATATATGTATGTTTTATATAATTTCATTTTACATCAGACACACACAGCAAGGTCAGCAGTTGAGAAAAAGTTTTCAACATATGAATGCATAGGAAGAATATAAAGAAAAGTGCAAAGCATTTGGGAAAGAATACTCAAGCAAAACTTATCTAAGCCGTTTCGTATGCAGAAGCAGTCAAGCAGTCAAGCACACACAGATACAACTATAAGTGAGTATCTGTGAGTGTGTGTCTTGCCCTTATATATCCTACTTTTATGCGTGTTGTAATCATAAGCGCGCTCTAAGCCCTGTAATAAGCTTATCGGGAAGCGACCAGAACAGAGTCCACAGCGTTGCCGAGTGTTGAGCTCAGCATTTATTCAATATATCTGCTAATCGGCTTATCGATAGCAGACGGTCTCTCTAATTTCGAATTATCCAAAGTTTGGTCATACTAGCGAGGATAATAAAGTCCGGTCAGATCAGAAAAACTAACTGCAAAACTTTGTGACTTTGTGTTTGTAATGAAACCAGTAAGTCCAGCCACACCTCAAAAAAAGATGAAGAAAATTGAGCAACTCTCACTAAAAGGTTTGCCACGCTGATAGAAATCAAGGTGAGTTTCTCGTACATTAGCAGTAAAATCTCTGCAGCAAAAAGAGATGGGGTAAGATGGAGTACATTTTTTGTTGGCAAAATAAAAACGTTTTTCCTGAACTTTACTTCCTGTTTTTTGGCTGTGCTCGCGCACTTTATGAGCCGCATATTTTGATTAATGCTCTTTCTGCGAATCCTGCAAATGCAACGGCTGCTGGGTGCAGGGTTGTGGCAAGAGGCTAAGCGGATAAATGTGTCAAACGCTGAAGGCTGCTAAAATACGCTGTAACAGTTAGTGCAATTTATAGACTCATATACGATTAGCTATTGCAAGGCAAAGGTGCAAGATTCTCAGCCAGAGAAACCACTGTCCGATTACTGTCCATAGCAACTGAAATGAACCTAAATGAAACCAGCTGCCAGGCTTTAATGATACAAGTGATATTATGCAATGTACTTCTTTCAGTCCTGATTAGCATAATTATTTTTTCAAATCAAGCGTTTATCAAATAAAATATTAAGTCTTTAACTTTCAAATTCTCTAGTTTTAAATAAATTTTAAGCTTTCAATTTTAAAAATTTTAACTATAAACAGAACATCTAACAGTCGCTATACTTAAATTAATGACGTCATCCAAATAATCGAGAAAATTGTGTCATATCATCTCTGATTACAATTTTGCTCAACGTATCCCAATGAAACGTAGCTTGGGGTATTATTTTACAGCTGTCATTTTACTTTGGCTGGCATTTTTAATTACTTAGCTTCCTTTCATTTAACGGCTAATGCGAATAATTGTCCCCTAAATTGTTAACGGCTTTCAGACAAGTCCCAATTTGGAAATATCTCCAGGACATGTTTTGCTTTTAAATAATCCACAATCAAATGCCTGAACCTTTTCTCACCGAAGGCTTTTGCCATGCTATTTTTGGCTTGCATGCTTTCTAACAACTTGTTATAAAAATATATAGCTGACATGAATTTGATTGACTTCTCCGGCATTTGCACTTGGCTTTGACTGCAGACTTGTGTGCTTTGTGATTTATCCATTTATCTGTCTTGTCCTGAATTAGATAAATGCGAGAAAGTAAAAGTAAATAAATATGTTTTCATTTTCCAATACATTTTTTTTTCTAAAATTGGCCTAGCTTTTAATATGCTAAAATCTCGCAATGTCCACCACAAAATAAAGAGCTGAGTTAAAACGCAATTAATTTAATTATAATTATACCAGAAGTGTGGGCTCTGTCTTAAGGAAAATGAAATTCCAAGCAAAAGACTGAGAAACAGGAACACTTTTTATGAAATCTAAGAACACAATTTAATTTAGCTGAGACTGAAGTCTCTTTAGCTTAACTTTCACGTAGAATGGGATCTTAAAGGTTTCATATTGGAAATGATTTGCTGTAGATGCGAGAGAAAGAAAATTGTTAAATTGCTACCATAAATTAAAATAATTTATCCAATTTGAGCAGGAAAACAAAAAATATCATCTGCCATCAATTTTTTTTACTCACAATTGCATTTTCCTTTTCATTGCAGCGCAAATTGAAAAATAAAACAACCAGAGACAAAGAAGGAGATTGAGAGAGAGAGAGAGAGAGATAGAGGGGGGAGGAAGAAAAACCACGCGCATAAGAGACGAACAGAGCAGAAAAGGACGAGGAGGTGAATGCAGTGTTAGCAGGATGTCAAAATGCCATCGGCAGATCAAATCTTGTTCATAAATGTCACCACAACGGTGGCCGCGGCAGCGTTGACAGCAGCCGTTGCCGTCAACGGCACACCAGAGGCGTCCACAGGGAAGGCATCATCGCCAGCGGCAGCCAACGGACGCAGTGCCTCAGCAGCAGCAGTAGCAGGAGCAGCAGCGTCGTCAACGTCAACAACAACAGCAGCCCTGGCAGCCAATTTATCGGGTTCGTTGGTGGACAGCCTGACAACAGCAACGGCAACGGCAACGGCAACAGCAACAGTGACAACAGCAACAGCAATTGTCGAGTCAACACAGGAATGTGGCGCATTGGCCGTGGAAGAGTTGCATGTCAGCTTTTTGGGCTTGCAACTGGCGGTGCCGGAGTGGGAGGCGCTGCTCACAGCGCTCGTCCTCTCCATCATCATAGTGCTGACCATAATCGGCAACATTCTAGTCATACTGAGCGTCTTCACCTACAAACCATTGCGCATTGTGCAGAACTTTTTCATCGTCTCGTTGGCGGTGGCTGATTTAATGGTGGCGCTGCTGGTGCTGCCCTTTAATGTGGCATACTCGATACTGGGCCGCTGGGAGTTTGGCATTCATCTGTGCAAGCTGTGGCTCACCTGCGATGTGCTCTGCTGCACCTCCTCGATACTCAATCTGTGTGCCATTGCCCTGGATCGCTACTGGGCGATAACCGATCCCATTAACTATGCACAGAAGCGGACAGTGGGTCGAGTCCTGCTACTCATCTCGGGTGTGTGGCTACTCTCCTTGCTGATTAGCAGTCCGCCGTTGATTGGCTGGAATGATTGGCCGGATGAGTTCACCAGTGCAACACCGTGTGAGCTGACCTCGCAGCGTGGCTATGTCATCTACTCGTCGCTGGGCTCCTTCTTCATACCGCTCGTCATTATGACGATTGTGTACATTGAGATCTTTGTGGCGACGCGCCGTCGCCTAAGGGAGCGTGCCAAGGCAAACAAATTGAATACGATTGCGTTGAAGACAACGGAGCTGGAGGCCATCAATACGAGCAGTGCGGCTGCTGGCAGTAGCTCAACCAGCTCCAAGGCGCGTGCCTTGGGCAGCCTCTGCGGCAGTTGGCTCTGTTGTGGTCGCGATCGCGCCAACTTCGCCACGCCCATGATACACAACGACCAGGAGAGTCTCAGCAGCGAGACGCACGCCCAGCCTGACACAAACACCGAACAACACCAGCACCAACAACAACAACAAACTGTTGTTGTGCTCGTCAAGAAGTCGCGTCGCGCCAAGATCAAGGACTCAATTAAGCATGGCAAGGGGCGCAGCGGTCGCAGATCGCAGTCTTCTTCGTCTGGATGTGAGCCGCACGGTGAGCAACAGTTGCTGCCACAAGCCAATAGCAACAATGCCGCCACCAAATCGGATCAGGAGATAAGCACAGAGAGCGGCAGCGATCCCAAAGGTTGCATACAGGTGGGTCAATCAAATTATTCTTTTGTGACTCCATTTAGAAACTTAATTTACTTATTTTCATTTCATTTTATGTGAACTACATTTTGTCTACATTAAATAAATAAGTAAATAAATCCTTGTAGTTAATACGGATTGCATATTGCTTACTGCTCGCAGACAGTATTTTAGATAGATATTTATGAATTTAATTGAATTAAATAAAAATTGATTGTAAATAAAAGAAAGAAATAAAAGTTTCTCAAGTGCAATTATTATGCATTAAAGCATATAACTCATTAGTTATCCAAAACAAAAACGGCATAAAGATCAATGCAACATGTTGCTTTTTAATATATACAAACATACTTTTTTAATAATATTTATTTAATATTATTATATTCAACAAAACTTAGTTTTTATCTCTTCAAACTTTGATAAAGGTATCGTCGCAAAACTCATGTTAGCTAATTACAATCCTTCGATTATAAATAAATAGTAAATTAAATTATATCGCAATTATTTATACTTATTTTATTAAAATATAAATTTAATATGAATAGTTGTAAGTTAAAATATTTAACATATTGTGATAATATTTAGTTATCATATAAAATGCTTAACGTATCTTATGAAATTAATACAATGCGATTTACATTTTTTCTAGGTTTGTGTTACCCAAGCGGATGAGCAAACGTCTCTAAAGATGACGCCGCCACAGTCATCGATGGGCACGGCTGCTACGACTGTGGTGCAGAAGAAGCCGAGCACCGTTAACCAGTTTATCGAGGAGAAGCAGAAGATCTCACTGTCCAAGGAGCGGAGGGCTGCTCGCACCCTGGGCATCATTATGGGCGTGTTTGTCATCTGCTGGCTGCCGTTCTTTCTGATGTATGTGATTCTGCCATTTTGCCAGAGTTGCTGTCCCACGAACAAGTTTAAGAACTTTATCACCTGGTTGGGTTACATTAATTCCGGCTTGAATCCGGTCATCTATACGATATTCAATTTGGATTATAGGCGCGCATTTAAAAGACTACTGGGCATGAAGATATGATGACATAATGATGGACACAAAGTGCAGATGCCAACCAAAAGAGAGGGCATAACTCAAAGTTTGTGCCAAAAATTAATATGAATATTTGAAGAAACACCTGGGAAAAGTGATGCTACCAAATAACTAATCATGAAATTTACCTAAATATGGTTTCACTCATTTGTATACAAGATCTCGAATTTCATTCAAAATAATAAATGACATTAAATATTTGAACTAAATGAAGAAAAAAATAAGCAATTTCTATTAGCAAATAAAAAGCTTCGTGTTACATTAGCGAACTCTAGTTTTTTACTTAACAACTTCACTTCAATATCAAATGAATATATCTGTTAACTTTAGCTCTAAAATAAACTCACTTTTTTCGGGTGTTTCAAAGCTTTGGTTTTGCTCATAAAGAACCCTTTGAAAGGACACGCCTGGGCGTACTTAGCTAAATGTAAACTGTTATATATACTCATAGAAAGTGTACTGCGAAAGGGGGCCTAAATAACCCCAAGGTCAACTTTTATGTGCACAAACTCTCTTCTCCAAAAGAAATATTAAATAAAATATTCAAAACTGGAACAAAATATTACCATAAAAAAGGAGGAAAGCTTCAATGTATAAAACGGATAACAAAAAATAAGAAAACTAAACTGGAAACCTAATTGAATTTAATTAAATGTTTATGCACATGTTGCAAATATGTTTCATATTTCATTCTTCAGCGCATAAACTGAATATATATAAAATATATATGCATTACATTACATATGCATACATAAATACAAAATAATAAATAATAATAAATTAATGATTAATTGAATGTGCTCGCTCAACAATGAGAAACTTCCAAAAACTGTTTTCTTAGGCATTACTCTAACATATTTATATTACGAATTAGGTGCAAGAAATTATTAATAATAAATGTATGTATACTTTGTGAGGTACGCTTAAAAATATTTGTTAAATAATTTAATTAGAAATGAATTGTTTTTATGACAAAGCATCAAATGTGTTGAGTGTGCAAAAGCACAGCTAAAAGCTTAAATACTTAATAAATAATTAAACACAAATAAGTAAGATATACAGCAGCAAAGATAAATGTTTTATTGCATTGTGCAATATAACTTAAAATAACTTAAAATATAAATCAATGTATAAAACCAAGAGAAAAGAAACTCATAAGTACATACGGCAATTATTGAAATTTCATGGTGTACGTTAACTTCACTAATTAAATTGTTTAATTAGCAAGCCGAAACAAAACAAACGAACAAAAAGACAGATTCGAATAAAAGTTATGAAAAATATTTAAAAACCATAGTTTCACTTGTTTATTTCAAAACGATGTAGTTCTGCGCTTTTTTACGTTGGACCTAACGCATCGCCATTCTACCGACAACATTTTGACGCTTTTCATCATTAAATCATTTATTTACTGAGAGAAACGACAATTTATTCTGTCGATGTTTGTGTTCTAAATTTAAATCGAATTTGAAACGGTCATTTTCGATAAATTCGAATTTTAACAGATGTTTTAAAATTTTCTGCTCCTCCTTAGTGCATGTGCTGACAAAAGCTGCTTGTTATGTATGTATGCACTACAGTGACCATTGCCTTCAGCAGCTGAATGATATGAGACTGCTTAACCTTTTCTTCATATTTAAAATCAGCTGGCGCTGTTAAACTGCTTCTCAACATAAATTGAAATAAATTATTATTTGTTTTATTAATTACAAAATAATCGAGTTACATGAAATGCGACCTAAAAGAACAAATGTTGTTCCCGTCTTTATATATAATTTATTTATTTTAAGCAACTGGTATTTTTTTAGTATTATAAATAATAATCCCAAATATAGTTTTTGGGATTTTCTGCTTTGCATTTTGGATTTGTGTCAGTATTTATGAAATGTGCGATTAGTCATTTCAATTTATTTTTAGTTTACATTTAAAGCACATTAGAACATTATTTCAAATAAGTCTCCTACTGTCCCAAAAGAAATAGAAATAATACAAAAATGCAGGTAAGCTTAAAGTCAGCAGAATATTTATAATTTATATATTTATATGTCTATAAATACATTTACAATTATAAATGTGTATTTGTGCATAAATTTGAGCATGTGCATGCAATAAATGCCCATATTCGGTAGTAAAACGCACCCAAAATGAACCGCATGAGTGAGTTGAGCGATTTGTGAATGAAAACTCAAGCAAATGATGATTTTTGTAGGATCCCAACGAAGATACCGAGTGGAACGATGTGCTGCGCGCAAAGGGAATCATTGGGCCAAAGCAGAAGGAAGCGGAGATTACCGAGGACCAAATTCAGGCGATGATGAACGATGTGATTCAGCGACGAACAGATTTGCCGCCGCAGGAGGGTCAGCGTGACAAGCAGATCGATGACATGTCACTCGACGAGCTCGATGAACTCGAGGATTCAGAGGACGAGGCAGTGCTGGAGCAGTATCGCCAGCGTCGCATGGCCGAGATGCGTGCCACGGCGGAGAAGGCGCGCTTTGGCAGTGTTCGCGAAATATCCGGGCAGGAGTACGTCAACGAGGTGACCAAAGCGGGCGAGGGCATCTGGGTGGTGTTGCATCTGTATGCCAACGGCGTACCTCTCTGCGCCCTGATCCACCACCACATGCAACAGCTGGCGGCACGCTTCCCTCAGACCAAGTTCCTGCGCTCCGTGGCCACCACCTGCATACCCAACTTCCCCGACAAGAACCTGCCCACCATTTTCGTTTACCACGAGGGAGCGATGCGCAAACAGTTTATTGGTCCGCTGGAGCTGCGGGGCGAGAAACTGACGCTGCCCGAGTTGGAGTTTATGCTGGGTTCGGTTGGGGCTGTGCCCAGCGACATTAAGGAGGATCCCCGGCCACAGATCCGGGACAAAATGCTAGCCGATTTGGAAGATAAAAGTGCGGATTTTTATTGAGATCTCGTCGGAATTTCTTCGAACCCATTTTCTGTTGCAGTACAATTGCGAATCTTGTTTTGTGTGCATTTCTTGTTAAAATATAAAAATTATTTTTGCTACAAGGATTCACTTGTTGTTGTTGTGTGCTTTCCCACTGCTGGTCGGGTTCTTGGCCATGCCTTTGGGCTTGCTGCGAAATATGTTCGGATCGATGATATTGTACGGGTGCTCGCAGGCCGGATTTATGGTGCGCCCGCGACGCAGCTCGTGCTTTTCCAGCAGATGTGGAGCCAGCAGTAGAAACAGCTGCTCCGTCCACGAAGGCAAGCCAAAGCTGGTGAAACACAGCTCCCAGTAGGGCAACCCCAAGTGCGCAATCGCCATGCGCAGATACTCACTGAAAGTCTCGGCCAGAAACTGCCAGCTGAGTGTGCCCAGCTCGAGCAAATAAAACCGTGGATTATTCGAACTAGTTGACTCATACAACATGCACACCTGAAAGGGGAAATATTTTTGGTGTGAAAATAAATAATAGCAACTAGAAGAAATATATGCATTTATCTACATTATACAAAAAAGAAAATCGCCCCGAAAAGCTTACATATTTTTTAGAAATAATTTTCAAGTATTAAGATAAATATTTTTTAAAATTTAGGTAGCGTGCCCTAAATCGATAATTTCAAACATATGGCGATTTTTACAATTTTTAATCAATTTTTCCTATAGTCAAAAACATTTTCAAAAGTAGAAGTGCAAACGGACATATTTTGAAAATATCATTTCTAAACTTCAGAAACGAGTAACGAAATTTAACGGCTCGGCTTTTATATCAGAGTTCAGATGACGTCTGACTTAGTCAAATTACACCATATGAATTTATAAACTATAAAATATTTGTCTATGTGAAATCTTCAAATACAAATTATATATTATTAATAATATAAAAGGCACAGCATCTTGAAAATTGAACATATTTTTCTAAATTGTGGAAAAATACACCCTAAAATTCAGACATTCAAAGCCGAGCTCTCAGAAAGCCACAACAATAAATTTTGGAAATTGTTTGTAAATAATAGCAACTGCAACTGTTCCACACTCACCTTGGCCATTTCGTTGATATTGTTGATCTCAAATATTTTCGTCTTGGCCGTTATGATGGGTGTGGCATTATCCCACTTGTCCTTGGCTATAACAGAGCTGGTGCTGCTCCCGCTGGCCCCGCTCGTCGACTGGGCGCCGCTTGCCGGGTGAGTATTCTCGATGTTCTCCCGCAATAGGGTCACCTGGAGCAGATGCGGAAAGTGTATGTAGCCGACGCGTCGAACATCGCTGGCTAAGGGATTCCATTTGACGCATCATCATTATTCGACTTTGTTTGGTCGAGTCCCGATACTTACGCGCATATTGATAGCTCCAGTTGAGCACGAAGCCATCGCTTGAAAGATAAAACTTTTTCATGTCCTCCGGCAGGTAGACACAGTGTCGTTGCTCCCAGTTGACCACCTGGCACGGATTCAGGGGCTGTCGACGCTCCAGGCTCACATTGCACACTCTCGGCACATTTGCTATTATGTAAGTTGGTTTTCGGTATTGGTTTAGCTGGCAAACAATAACTATTACTCACATAGCGTTTTAATCAGGCCCAACGTCAAATTTTCGTAGAATGCATCTTCTGGTGAAAGTTTCTTATTCATATTTGTAATATGTAATTTTCAAAAATGGAATATTCCAAAGAGTGGGAGCGCTGTTAAATGTTAAATTTGATAGAGTAAACAATGACTCCCTGACACTGGTTGTCCTGGTAACAGACTGACTAACTATCTGACAACTATTGTTCCTGAGGCTGAACTAACAATTCATTTCCATAAATATTATGAACTCTTAATTTTATATTGAACAAGCCAAAAATTACTCCTAATAAAGATATGAAACCCTTATTTCCCACATCTGAGTAACACTAATTATACTACTGATACACAGTTGTTTTTTATTTTTATTTTTATTTTTTTTGAATACGATTAAATTTTCGTTGATATAGCTGTTAATAAGTCGTATACTACATTTAAAAGTTTGTACATCATTTATTTACAGAAAAGAAGTACAGTAAAAGAGAAGGGGAACTAACAACTAGTCAAATAGTAATTTTAATAAATTCGAGTATTTATATTAAACGATTATTGACCACATCTAACTAAAACCAATCAATCTAAAACTGAAACCGCGATTATTTTTAAGTGCGGTTAATATGTTGGTGATATAGCTGTTATTAAGACAGTTGTTTTCTATTTTTATATTTTTATGTCCATTAAAATACAATTTATTTACACAAAATAGGTACAGTAAAGGAACTTGATTACGGACATAAATGATTGACTTGATAACAATGAAATTAAATACGACACTGAACGAGCAATATGGACGTGAACAGATCGTGGCCATTGACCAGTTGCCAATCTCATCTCTTTGCTTCACTGGGCTCTGTGCTCTCCGCCTCCTCCTCGTGTCAGGAAACCTCCCACACGGTGGACTCAACCGATCGACGCGGACGCCCAGCGACCTCCACATGGGCATCCAGTCCGTCACTCATGCGGCTGAAGCGGCGAGCCCAACTCCCGCGCGGATTTGCCTGGCCCCCGGCTATGGATGTGCGATGGCTGGCATCGCGGAACAGGCTCATAATATCCTGATTGTCGCCCTGCGCCCGCTTGATGCCATGCTGGTATTTGGCCTCCTTGGCTAGCAGCTGCTCGCGCTGCATTTGTGTCTTCACCTCCGAGGGCACATCGGGTATGATGAACTGCATGATGCCGGTTAGGACGAACACAACGTGCTGTTTTGGTCAATACAAATTTATAAAGTGAGTATCTATTAGAGCCACAGTAAGATTTAGAGCCAAACTTCTCCAATTCAAAGAACTGTATTATTCTACAACTCGAACCAAATTGAAGAACGATTTCGTTTAGAGACACAATTTGATACAATTAAATAAGAATTGTATGATTTCTGTGAAGTCTGCTTGAATGTACAATACTCTTCTTAACAAATAAAATAATAAATGTCATAAACTCAAAGATAAAAAGATTTATATTTTTGCGGCTTCTTATGCTTCAACAATATAACGTCGCCATTAAAATATTCTTTAACGTCGATTCGATTTAGAGAAGTTTGACTATACTTGATGCCCCATTATACCTCAAACACCACGACGAAGGCCAGGCGTGCGGCAAAAACATGCCAATAGTGGGGACTAAGGCCATAAGGCTCATAGTGCTTGGGGCCATTCCTGTAAAGTACAGCAAATGTAAAAATGGACTAAGATGAAATAGTTGTCAATTTACTAACCGATAACCCCTATATTGACAGGTGTCGGGATCGAGTTCGCTACTCGTCGCACCCCATTCCTCCTTGTATTCGGATGTATTGAATACGGACAGGGAGTGCTCAATGTAGCCAGCCAAGGTATTTGACTCCGAGTAGACAAACTTATAAACGACGCGTGGAATGAAATCACTTGTGTAGGCGATCACAAACGCATTCGAGACGACGGCCGTGTAGGTGATAATACGCAGAATGCCGTACCAGGCGCCAATGTCCTCCACACGCTCCGCCAACGGTCGCCTCGCCTGTGTGACCATCTTGTAGGCATCCAATCGAATCTCGGCCACATTGTTGAGTAGTGCAAATAGCGGCGCCAATGGAAATGCGGCCACAAACAGTGTCACAAAGCCATATTGAAGAACTAAAATAAGTATAGACCAAATTATGAATGACCAACTTGGGATGTTTAAAAATAGGCGAGCTACTCACTCATTTCTAGGTACTCGTCAAATAGGGCCAAGCGTCCTGGGTCCTGCATATGATAGTCCTGTTCCCAAGCCATATGTAAATGCGATTCATCCTTAGTAGCCTGCAGTTAAATACATATTGGGATTTATTGCTCCGATACATTATATAATAGAGTGCTACTATGCTGGTTAAGTGTTTTTACCCATGAGAGAGAGTAAATTTAATGCTAGATAGGTAAAAATGAAACACACAAAAATTTATTTATTATTTAATTTATCCAAAAGGCTGGAAAAAATAAATTGGTAAGTAAATAAATAATAAATAATAATACATTTATAAACATCTTTCCTCCATTTTCCCCACAAATTTCCTAAGACTTTCGTCGTGCAGCTGGATTTCAGTTCTAAATTGAGATATTTATCCCTTACCGCTTAGTCAGTACATTAATCTGCACAAACAGTTTTAATTATAAATAAATTTGTAAGTTTATATCTTACACACCTGTTTATGCTTACGCTGACGCCACCAGTTCCAGAACTTGGGAAAAAGATATTCCATAAAGTTGTTCCAGCATTGCTTGCCCACCATAATAATGGCCTAAATGGTCAGAGAGTTTGCCTTATAAAAGGAAAACATACTGATCGCTGAAGTTTATACTTGCCAACTGTATGCAGAGCTCGGAGAGGCAGCCCGCCGGATCACAGATGTCATTCTTGAGGCGGAAGAACTCACTGCGCCGCGCCTGATCATCGCCGGGATAGTCGAAGAAGCGTCCCTTAAAGAACGCTATGTAGATGAGCGACGAGTAGAAGTTCATGAACTCAAAGAAGAATATCTTAAAGGTGTATGAGTCCTCGTATTCGGTGTGGGTGCGAGGATTCTCCAGGTTTGTCAACTTAATTGCCATGCGGTGATAGATCTAATGAGATACCAAAAAAATGATTGATTGGTTGATTGATTGACCAAGTTCTACACTTATAGAATCTAAGCCTACCCGTGTGAGTATCATAATGACAACCAAATTGATCAACGCCGCTGTCACTGTGGTAAATAGCTTGGCATGCTCATTCACAAAGAAGCCTCCCCCGCCATAGATAACCGATACCAAGGATACGCGATAGATGATTGTGCCCAGCACGGCGGAGAGCACAACTGCGATCTGTACTCGAGGAAGATGAACAATATTTTGTTAAATGGTAATGTATTATTACAGTTCTTGCATATTAACTACATTTTCAAATAACTATTTTATCATTTATTTATTTTTAATGTAACCCACAAATTTAAAGATGATTTCAAAAAATAAATGTATCAAAAAAATAAATAAATAAGAAAATAATACCTTGTAAATGTCCATTTTCATAAATCTTATATTCTCTATGCAAAAATAGAACATTTGATTGAATATAAAATCTATATATCTAATAATTTGCTTGGTCTATTCAAAAACGCCATATTGCAAAGCAGAATCTAATAAAAATAGTTTCATATTGCATTAAAACTGCTTATTTCTAAGCGACGATTGTAATACACTCTGAAAACTCGATCTCACTAAACTCATAATTGTCCTGAAAACTAATAGCTATTCTAGCTTTTGGAAATAGTTTCTAAATATTCGAAACATATTTTCCAACATTCGAAATGCTGACCCTGGATTCAATATTCATAAATATTGGGTTTTAATTTTTAGAATTAAAAAGTAGAAAATCAAACCTTATTTTAAAAAATATGCTTTATAAAATTCAGAATAAATTCATGAAAATCATGTGGGAATATTTTTTAAATTAAACTTATGGATAATAATAAAAAATTAAAAAATACTCTGTGTACACATTGAAAAAAACATTCAAAATTTGTTGAATATTTTTCTAAATTTTAAAACCACAAGTTTTAGTTTTAGAAATTCACTTTTTGAAAAATAGTGTGTGATGTTCTTCTGGCCAAAAGTAACGACATTCTCTAAGATTCACCGTTATTTTTATTAAGTGCAGTATTTACCATAAAGAGCACGGCACTTCCCGTTATTACGAATCGAATAGCGCGGCTCCAAGTGGACATATAGGGTTCCTTCTCCCGTGTCACTGGATTCATGCGAAATGTGGTTGCGTTCGTCTCGAACTCGGGCCGGTTCTCCTCATCCAATTCGACGTTGTGGAGGTCCCATTCCCATACTAAGACTGATTGCTTGCGTTTCCACAGTTCCAGGAAAGTGGTGGCTAAAAGTGCATAAAGTGCATTCTTAAAATTACAGATTATTAATTGTTAATGTGAATACTCACCCCAGAAAGACATGAAAATGGCAAAAAATACCGTTGACGGGTTGTCGAAGAGGTAAGTTAATCGTGAGAAGAGGCATGATTTGTAGAGCGGCTGATAGCTGCACGCCCTATCACAAAGCGGACACAGGGTAATGTTGCCGGTGCCGGACTCATTGCAGATCTCCTTGCTTGGCGTATTGTCCTCCGACTCCAGTGTGGCCAGGCCATAAATAAAGCACAGAGTGCCAACAACCGAGGGGTAAACCAGCATTTCGGTGTAGAAACCCAACCAACAAAAGTAGAGCGCGATTTTGTCTCCAAAGTACTTGCGCACCAGGCAAAGCGGCTGCTTCTTGTACCACTGCGAAGGAGTTGCCCAGGTCTGATAAAGCACTCGGCGATCCAGGGAAACACCGCTCGAATGGGGCCGATCGTAGCGACCCTCGTGCAGCGGAAAGCAGCCCAGATAGGTGCCATCGTTGAGCAGTCGTCGGATGCCATTGCGATCACCCTCCTCGTAGGGTGTCCGAATCAGCACCTGCATCACCATCAGCGACCGCTGAGCACTTGTGTACGCCGTGGCACGATCCTTAACAATGAACCTGCATGATGTAAATTGGCATTAGTTGAATTGCGATTTCAGCTTTTTGGATTCCGTTTCAAATGATTTTTTACGTTGACAAATGTATTTTATAATCTGAGGAGTGGTTTTGAACTTGATGCTTTGAGTCTTAAGGACTCGGTTGTCTAGGAATAGCAAGACCTGAATGCCAAGGGGTAAACAACCTTTAAAATGCGAATAAATCTTGTCAAGAGTATTTCAGAATGAAAACAGCCATACTTTTGGCATCAAGGGCAGCGTACACCTCAATATTAAGAATTTTTATTTATAAGTAGGGAAGATCTTTCTAAAATTAAGAAAATAGATTTCAAAGCTACAAGATTTTTTTGATTTGTGTTATTAAACATCAGTTTTTTAAGATTACACAAATAGAAACATTTTGAATAATTTATAAATTCATAAAAAGTATTTTAAGCTACGCGGCTTCTAATCTTTTCAAAAATAAGTGTATTTTTATTATAGCCTTGTTAGAAAAATAATTCTCAATAATAGAAAACATATATATTAAACATAAATATTAAATATTAAGAAAGATTAGAAAATATTTCTCAACATAAGAACAACTTTTCAGATTTAAGGGTGAATTTGATTTAATTGTAATATATTTTATCTGAGTGTGTTTTGAATTTGATCGGATAATTATTGATCAACATGAGATTTTATCCAATAGCTGTTTTATATATAATTATTGTCCAAATATAGCTGTGCAAAATGTTGTAGTTTTTGTAATGTCAAAGGTAGCAGTTAAGTGTTGTCAGTTTAAGGACTTACTGTTCCTCCGGATTGCCGTTGGCTGTCGCAGCCTTGAAAGTTGTCTCGCCTTCCAGCAGGCTGTGATCGAGTTGGATCTTTTTGGTGAGCCGTTGCCACATATCCTTCCAGTATTGCACATTGCGCATGACGACGTTCTCATCATCCTATACAATTGAAGGACACTTAAGGACGTAAGTGCACACTTAATGAATGGTTTGCTTACCCAAGACGACTTTACGGTTATTGTTATGAAGCGTTTGATGGGCAACTTAAGATTCATGACCTCAGCTAGTCGTGTTTCGAGGCGCCACGGCAGATGGATCTTGAGGAAAAATGTTTTTTCGTTGAACGACTGTGACTTGTCCTCCAGCTCAACGTCGAGTCCTTCCTTCACTAGATTCTCCATAAAACAGCGCCTTATATCGCGCCGACGTGCCTCCGCCTCGGTCATGACGCCCAGATCCTCCTCCTCCCAGGCCAGCACCATGTCCACCTTGCGCCGTCCGTCCCGAAACATCAGTGACTCCGGGTCGAGGCCCTCCCTATCCTGTTTGCTTATGCGTCGCTCTCCCTCGCTGCCATCGCCCGTCAGGCTGTTGCTCTTGCTGGCCTTGCGACTGCTGGCATAGCTGCCACTAATGCTGCTGCTCTCTCCGGTGGATGTCCTTCGATCGGTGGGCATCAATTGTCGATAGCCAAACTGATCTGCCAGCTCATTCGAATGTGACGACTCGATTACTTCATTTGACTGATTCCCTTTGTCATCCACCTCGCTGGAATTGCGCCCATTCAGCGCCGGGCTAATGTGCAAGCCCAGAGTGCGACGCATTGCTGTGCCTGGTATATCCTCCTCAGGTCTGTCCACAACTTTGGGTCCGAATGCTTGCGTGGGACTCGGCTCCGCGGATTCTGTTTCCAGGTGTGTGGGCAGCGGCATCGTTATCGAGTTGCCCTTCGAGTAACATGAGGCATTGCTGCCACGCACCATCGAGGAGTTGAGCCATTTCTCTGTGTAGGAGGCAGAGCCGCTGCTGCCCGAGCTCTGTTTGTCCACGGGGGGTTTTGGCGAGACGGGTTTGTTCACCGCTTGACGTTCCACATCCATAAAATGGTATATGCTGTCGGCAGTGATGCTGGGCTCCATTGGTGGAGCCTCCAGATCCAATTCAATTAAATTTCTATCCTATTGTGGCAAATAAATAAAAGAAACATTATAAGATATATTGTTAAGATCGAAAGGTACAAATTGCTTGTGATAACGACACTGAATTTGCTTGAGATAAGTGGAGTTTTTAGATTTCAATGCACAAAAGGAAGTAGACCGCTCAAAGAAATATAAAGATCTTCTTGTTGTTAGAAATAATTTCTAAAAATTAGGAAAAATATTTCTAAAATTTAGAAATGCCTGCCCTTAATCGACAATCCTAAAAATATGGTTATTTTTTAATATAAATATTTATATTAATAACATTTCAAGAAAGTACACAAAAGTAAGCCGTAATTTTTTAGCAAAACCTTTCCAAAATTCAGAAAAAAGTAATGAAATTTAGTGGCTTATATTAAAGTTGAGTTCTTGCCTGCCTTAGAGTCCAAGTAGCTCAGTGGGAAGTCACTCAACACGTGAACCAAATCGAAATCGTAAGTTCTTTCCAATTAAGCATATGCATTTTATAAACTATTTAAAATATGAATTCTATAAACTATGCTAAGTCTAAAATGACTGACATTTAATAATAATATAAGCAGCAGAAAAGCTAATATAAGAATTCTTCAATTTGTCATACTTTTAGAAAAATATACAAAATAAGTCACAAAAACATAAGCATTAGAAATTTTTATTTTTGAATAATACGGCGCTAATGGCGCCAAAGGAATGTCGGTTTAATAAACTTTAAATTGATTTTTTTATGAGTGCAGGAAATAGGATTATTTGGCATACATCAAAATAGGAGACAAGATATGATAGCAGATATGTATACTGATTGATGAGTTTAGTTGGATGACTTACACCATAAGCAACTAGACGACCTGCTACAATGCCGCTGTCCTGGCTAAGCCGTCGTGGACGCGACTTGGGATGATTTTGGCGAATTGCTCGCTCGCTTTTGGCTGGACTTGAGACGACTTGTCGCCTGTTTGGAGAGTTGCGCCCACTACGTAAAGTGGGCACTGACAGGAATCCTGTAAAATTAAAAGTGTTTTAAGCTAAATCGAGATAGCTACATATGGAGCAGCGGCGAACTCACTTGGAAACTGAAACACTGTCTGCTCACTGGCTCTCTCGGTCTCGAGTGCGCCGCTGCCAATGAGATCCTCGCGCGAATTGGACTCAGTTATGGGTGCGGTGCTCTCATCATCAACGCTGTCGATTCGTATTTGAAAAATATTTGAGTTGCCTCGCACATTGCCCTGCAGCTTTCCATGACTGCTCATTTTTCCGTGGGTTTGTCTATCTATCTGCGACACGTCACTACACAAAGTAATTATACTATTTAGTTATTCTATAACAAGAACTTTCCTCTTTTTCGACTACTTGGCGTGTAATTTGACCTACAATGCCAGATCGCACGAGGCATGTACATTTGTCACCATTCCCATAATAAAAAATGTATTTAAATTTATAATTTCGATTCAAATATAACAGGAACAAAATCAACGCGCGCTCCAAAACTATTTGACTCTTTTACGTTTCCTCTGAACTAAAAGAAATAAATGAAAAAAAAAAAAACTGTTAGCCTGTTAATGTTATTTCTTTTTATAGGAAATATCGGGTCCTTTAAAGCTCCTCCTTCTTTTATTTTTACAATTCGTTGTGAACTTTCTCTAATTTAAATAGGCATGCACGCATTTTAATTTGTTTTTCTTTTTACTAACTTTACTTCATAGGGCACAACTAGGTCGAGTTGTTTCTGCTGTATTATTTTGTTTCCCTATTTCTGTAATGTCCCGATGGGCCACTTTTATTTGACATTTGAACCCTGTTATATTACAATTACAAAGAGAAGTAGTCCACATTGGGGCAGGTACTATATGTATATGTATATGTATGTAATTGTGCTCGCATTCAATTTATATATTTGACTGTCAAAGTTCGGGTTAATTAATAAATAGTTCAAAATTGTACACAACTCTATTTGTCAATTTGAGGAAAATATTTTGAAATGCAAAAATGCATTTTGTGCAAAACCTCAATATGCCAAGGTATGCATGAGTAACAGAATTGTAAGGCTCTCTGTCAGGGTAAAATAGAAATGGCCTGGGGATAGAGAGAGCTGTATTTAAATTATAAGAAGAGATCACCAAACAATAAACTATAAATATAATTTAATGTCTTTCATCAATTTTGTTCTAACTTGTTCGACACAACTTCGATAAACTGATATCTTCTGGTTGAGCACTATTAATTGTTGGTAAATTAGATTAATATTGTTTTGGAAACAGGGGACATACCCTGTGAACTAAATACATATTAAAAAGATTGACGTATGAATGTATGTCCATATGTGTACACACGCCATTCAATGGCATGGGAGCCAGAGTCCAACGTCATATCGAGGCCAGAGTCATAATGACCTTATACATACGATTAAATATGTATATACGTGTGCAAGATAATGCTCGTTACAGACAGTTGTACTTGGGTCGATAAAACAAATAAACTTGTTGCTGACCGTAGAGGCGGGTTGGCAATTTAAGTATTTTCAATTAACTGAATTAATCTGCATTTTTGATCACTCTACGAAAATTGGATCATCATTTTAGACACTCTTAGTTGTTTCACATTTCACATCTAAAATTAAAATTAAAATGACCTATAGCAGGGACCTGAGAAGGTCCCTTGCCTTGACTTGGTATTTTTGAACTGGCTGTGACTTGCTAGATTCGTCAATAGAATTGCTTGGTTTGTCAGTTGGGCAAAGTCCCATGCCATCGAAGTAATCACAGCAATTGAGGGTTTATTGATTCGTTGTTGTCATTTTTCAAGTTCTATATTCACAATCGATTATTGATTGATTCAAATTCCATGCACATTCACAGATCCTAGTCAAAATTCATGAGTACTCACAAAAATCAATTAAACCAGTCACTGCTAATCAATCTGTACAAACTGTTTTTGTTTAATTATTATTGTTGATTGGAAATGCACATTACATGGTTTGGAATTGGAATTGTTTGAAATGTTGCTTGCGTATTGATTTAAAATTGTTGTAAAACGAATATTTGTCTCTTGTGTATCTTTAGCATTTTTCCATTCACTCGTTCGCGTGTCGCGTATTAGTTATTAACACATTCCGTTCTACATAATGGAGACCAGGGTTCTTGCGACCGATTTATTGAAGCACTCGCGCACGAATGACCAATAGCCAAGTGAGTGCCACAGGACTAGGTTGGATTGCAACTGTCCTGCTGTCCCGACCACCAAATGCCTCCAACTAAAATGTAAAAGTTGGTAGATAATCAAAGTAGTTCATTTTCATGTGTTGCGCTCTCACTCAGTCTAACATCGAGCTGACTGACAGTACATACATATGTACATACATGTGTACATATGTCTATAGTTTAGTAGTTAATTGACTGGCCACACTGCTCGCAGCGAGTAGTATTTGACATTTCGAGAATTCGAGAGTGAGGTTCTTGTGCAGTTATTATTACATATGTATAAATTATACATCTTGAACTCAAAGACCTGTGAGTCCTGTTTCAAGATTACTCACACCCAGTTTTCGAGTGGTTAATAATGACATCACAATTAATTGTCACATAATAGTTGTAGCGTAACTATAAAAATAGGTGCCTCTTGTCACTAGCGACTATTATTGTACAGCGGTCCATCTATTTTGAGTGACTGTATGCGTCAATCAAGTCGGCAAGTGCGTCGTTTACCAGCTTAAGGGCGGCATTGCGTGATGTGTGATTGTTGTCGGAAGTACTTATACTCAGTTAAACGAAAGTATTGACGAATGCCGTTACAACTAACTATTTAACAGCTACAATCCAATACATATGGTCTATGATTTACTGACAAACAAATTGGTTTCTATGACAGCTAACACCAGATTCATCGTACAATATATATGAATATAGGTAGATGATGTACATTGTTAGTCTTTCTCTAATATCGGCATGAATGATTTGGCATTGGTTCGCGGAAGTTGACTAACATTTAATTAAAGTTGTGCAACAGTGTTACTTAAATATCTCAATATATATTTAAATGTGTTCATACTTTAAACTAAAAGTGTGGTTGTCTTAAGCGGATTCATTTTCTTAAATAATTTATGTGGAACTAAAGTCAAGTGCTTGTAAAACATGTAGTAATTTAGTCAAATTGTCATTGTTATACAATGGATGCTGATGATGATGAAGTTTTGGAAATAATGATTTAGATGTTTTTTGTTTTTGTTTTGAAAGCCATGCAAAACGTGTTTCTAAATATACGTTAATATATGTAGGTGACGTGGCTACTGTCAAAAAAAAAAAATATATTTATAATTACACATTTAAATTGATTGTTGCTTTTTATATTTAATGTACTTTCCTTCCATGAAATTGTTTTGAATATATTTAGTCTCTTTTGTCAATCTCGACGTAAGCTAGATATTGTCGTCGATCTTCATTAACTAAATCAAATTAATTAAAAGCAGATAAGTTCGATATTGGCAGACGTTACTGGCTGTGAATTATTCTGTCCAAAAACAACCAAAATAAAATGGAAATCAGTCATTTGGAAGTCAAAAAGCAGTTGGCCTCTGCGCTTTCGATGTATATTCTAAGTAAATAGTAATGCATATCTAAATTCTCTTGAATTATTACAATTATGGGAACTCACTAATAAATTAATGTGGCAGTCAAAAACAAATTACATTTCTTTCTAAAACACATCTGTTCACTTCACTTTATTCACATCGATTCATTTCTTCTTCTTCAAGTTGATGATCACACAATTGATATCGATCGACTTCGATATCAATGTTATGTACAGATGTCAAGTTAGTCTTATTACTGCTACATTAAGACCGAGTGATTCATCGGGATGCTATCGGTTTGCCAGGTGGGGGCCAATCAATAATAAATTCACTTCAATTTCATACAATACACGAATTGACGAACAGAAGCACAGACAGCCGGATAGATTGGTATGATTTGGTATGAAATATTTATTTTTGATTAAAACACACTCAAAAAAAAAAAATTCAACCTGCATTTTACAAAAATGTAATGCAATTTACTGGCTCATATTAGATTTTAGCTGTTGTCTATAAAAACTGTCTAAGATTTATACATTTTTAATATATATAAACAAGAAAGTTAACGTTGCAGTTGCTTTTTGTGTACACAGGAAAATTAAATAAGACCCTTAAAATTAGACACATTTTTTCAACATTTTCGATTATTGTATCCCGAACAATTTTTAAAATTTAGTGAGATTTTATTCTGAGTGCATTGTCGAATTCTAACTTAGAAAACGGATAAAATTTTAATTATTGCTAATTTTATTGAACCCAACACCACAAAGATAATTTTATAAAACTCAATTTTGGTATACAAGAAGTGCTTCCAAATGGCTTACGATCACAACGCCTAATCATCGGATTTTGGCTTTTCGTTGGAATTATTGGTGCACTGCTGAAGAGTATCTGGCTCACAAGTGTTTGTCGCCTTGCTGAAATACTGGCCCACCTCGCACTCGGCCTCGATCTTCTGGCCGTGCAGGCAGATGAAGTAGCCGCGACAATTATGCGTGTTCCACGCCAGTTGGCCATGCTTCCCGTTGCAGACGCCCACACGGTCTCCGTTCTCCAGAAGGCAGGTGCCGTCGTTCTGGCGACAGATGCCCAGCAGGCTGTCGTAGCTCTCACCGTTGCGGCAACGTTGCGAGACGGGCTCATCCTCGTCGCAGCTGATGTAGCGGCGACAGTCGCCCGGCTCTGCAATGGAGGTCATCACGTCGCCAATCAGATCACAGAGACTGGCAATATCTGTGAGCGGATCGGTGCAATACTTCTCAACTACTAAAGTTTGTTCCGTTGTCGCTGGATCAGCAGCTGTCTTAGGCGACAGCAGATCCTTCTCGTCGGTTAGCTCAAAGGCCTGGCACTGTTGCAGCGTTGCATTGAAGAAGTAACCCGCATAGCAGCGCTCCCTGCGCAGTTTATTTGAGACGCACAGGTAAAAGTTGTTGCAATTTGACTTATCCGGCATTAAGTGACCGTGTTTGCCCTCGCACAACTCCGGATTGGGCGGCTGATGCCCGCTGCTGCTGTTGTTCAAGGCACTCATCGTTTCATTAATTCCACTGACAACAACATAGGGGCAGGCGCCATCGTCCTGGGTGCACAACAACTGATCTGCATCAAAGTAGGAGCCGGCGCCGCAGCGTTGTGCCAACGCCACGCCCCCCGCACAAATGTAATACTTGGTGCAGTCCCTGGAGTCAGCCACGTAGCTGCCATTCTGCAGACTGGCACAGCTGTCAACGGCACTACTGTTGCCACTCCCACTTTCAACTGTCAGCTGTCCCAGCGGACACTTCTCCAACTCCGACTCCAGCCGGAACTCCGACTCATTTACACACCGCAGGAGCGTTGCATTAAAGCGCATCTTAGGTGGACAATCGACTAGAATGGCCAGTCCATGGACGCAAGCGTAGTACAAATTGCAGTAGACCTTGTGGGGCAGACGTGTGCCATGTGCGATTCCGGCGCAAGGATTAATGATGGTAAGATTGGCCAACGATTGGGCGGGTTGGCGGCACTGACCCTGATCCAGGCGACATTGTAACGTTAGGCTGTCAAAGTATTGACTCTCGGGGCAATAGAACAACTGAGTGTCATTCTGGCCAAGGCTGGAGTTCAACCGGAATTGAACCGAATTGAAACTGGAGCAATTGTAGTAGGCGCGACAGTTGTCCGCATGAGCTACCAAGCCAGCACCCTTGTGATGGGCACACACTGAATGGATGGGCAGACAACTGCCATCGTTGGGGCGACAGTAGCCGACATTGGCATCGAAGTAGCTGCCTTTGGAGCAGCTCTGAAGTAGAGCCGGCTGCTCCCGTAGACACAAATAAAAGCTTACACAGTCCTCCGGATGGGCAACGCTCTGGCCATCAGGCTGACCCACACAGCTGCCCGTGGGCAGTTGCTGCAGCATGGTCTGGCAACGCTCCACAGACTGACACCTGTTCAGGTGGTGGGCAAAGCTATGTCCGCGCAGACAGCTGCCCAAATGCCAGTCATCCGCGTCGCAGTAGTAGAAGAACTGGCTGCAATTCGATTCCGGCAATGGCAGAGCTCTCAGCTCACCCGGCTGGCAGGGGCGTCGCAGCCCGTTGCCCTGGCAGCTGCCATCGCTGGGCACACAGCCCAGCAGCGGCTCGAACTGTTGCAACTGACCACAGGATTTGACTATCCACTGATTCGCCTTGTTGCATTCCTCATACGAACGGCAACTGGTGGCCAAGGCCCGTATCTGTCCATTGGTGCAGCCCGTGGAGGAATCAGTTCTGTTGAACTCGACTGTGCACTGGCTCGCATTGTTGGGCAGGCAGTAGTTGAAGGTGCGACTAAAATACATGCCAAGTGGACATTGCTGTTTCCACCAGGCGTTCTCCATGCACATCAGGAATCGATCGCAGCTCGATGGATCTGCCCGCACAGCCAGCTGCTGGCAACTGGCCGGCTGCTCATCTGTGCTCTGGGTGCTATTCAGCCAGCTGCAGAAATCATCGCCCTCGTAGGCCGGCATTGGGAGACAGCTGCCTAGATGCGTGGCATAATACTGTCGCTTGGGGCAGTTCCTCAGTCGCCACTTGCCTGCCGCACAGCGAAAGTATTGCTGACAATTGTTGCCCCTTTCACTCTTGGTCGGAATAGTTTCGGATTCGCTGCTTGAATTGCAGGCGGGCAGACCTGATCTTCGGGCATAGCTACAGACCATGTCGTCGCGTGGCTCCAGGCAACGCTGCTGCTCCGGATTGTAGTAGCGCTCCTCGGAGCAGGTGCGTCGCCGCCAATTACCATCCAGGCATATCTCGTATTGAGAGCAATTCGCTGGCACAGACCGCTTGCTGTTTAATTCACAGGCGAACTGCAATGAATCAGTGGAGAAATTGTTGAATTGTATTAGTGATAAAAATAACAACTGTCGAAATCTGTTTTATTATAATTATAATTTTTATAATTTCTTTGATTGGCTTTGGGATGAATTGGTTAAGTCTGGGAAGCGTCTTGGCAACGCATGCGATTATTCTGTCTTTATAACAAATGATAAATGAGCCTCTAATGAATTTATTCACAAAATCAGACAAAAAAAAAAGTTGAAAAATGTCTTATTTGAATATTCAAAAATATCATTGAAAATAAGATTGAAGCAGATAGGACGATTTTTTACCATTTGGGTATCGAATTTTCACAACTCTCTTATTTGAACTCATTTAAGTACTGAAATAAAGATTTTGAATAGAAATCACAAAGCAATTGAATTGTAATTTCTTTCTAATTCGATTTTTTGAGAACCTCTTCAAGGTAGTCGAACTATTTTCAGTAATCCAGAAAATTGTCAATTTATTGCCCAATCGTAATTTTATTACACGAGTAAATAGTGAGTTTTTGTGATATAAAATTAAATCGAATTTTATGCAATAATTTAATTTTGTGCCGATAGTTCCTAAGATTCTAGCCGACTGCTTACAAAGATAGCTTCAAAACTGAAGGACTTTTACAGATGATATTCAACTAAATCTAAAAAAAAAGGAGATAATTATCGATAACATGAAATATTTTTTTATATAAATGAAGTATGAGAACAATAACAACTAATTTAAAGATAAGAACATACTCTTGTGGACTCTAAGATTGGCGAGTTCATACAGACAGACAGACAGAAATACAGACCAATGGGCAGCGCCAGATCGGTTGCTGCTGCTTATTAAGAATATATATGCCTTATGGCGTCGGAGATTCTTCATTCTGCTTCATTGCACGGAACGAATACAAATATTAACTTTAAACAATGACAAATTCCTGGATATCTGAGTTTTGTATTTCCTAGCAATTGCTTAATATTTATGCTTCACGTTATCAAGTATAAATTACTCTTAATAAAATCAGTATTCCTTACAACGACATATTTTTAGTATTATTTTCAACAAAATGTAATCAGTATGTAAGAAATTTAATTGTCAAGCCACAATTTTTTTGGATTTAAGATAATTATAAATATGGTTCAGAAAGATTAAAAGTATCGAATTGGCAGTTAAGGGCACATTTTACTTTTACTTTCTTTGCACCAAAATGTTATTTTATTTAATTTGCAGGTCACATTTGTTTTCCGAGCGTAGTTCGCATTTAAGCAGACACACAGACAGACAGACAGGTTACCAAATCGGCTGATAATGCTGATCAATTGTATATATACATTTTTAAGGGGTCGGACAGGTCTGCTACAATGTGCTACACAAATGGCGAAATAACTATAATATTCTCTGCCAGGGGTATATCAAATAGCGAAATAAAAGTTCAGCTTAGCGCACATGTGTGGTAAATAAACATACATATATTTGGATAGGTATAAAACTGGAGCAAGCGGAATTTCTCGTAATAATAGTAACTCATAAATAACATGCATATGTATAGGTATAGGTATATGTATATGTATATGTATACGTATATGTATATGTATATAAGTAAGTAATTTAAGACATCGTCTAAGGTCTACATGGGTTCAAGGCGTTGGTCGCATGTGTGGTATGAGTGTCGCAAAGTCTATGCAAGTTTCTGGAAGAGTTTCTTAAGGAATGAGACTGATCTTACTTTTTCCTCCGGCTCCACAGATCTCTTCTGTATGCCATGATCGTTCAAAGCGCACAATTGCAGAGTGGGATCATAGAGGTAGTCTTTTTGGCAGCTATGGTAGGTGGCACCTTCAACACTGCCATCGCAGAGGCAGAATCCTTCGAATGTATTCTGCGCTGCAAATACCGTGATTGTGGTTCGACCCGCACACTCTTGAGGATCACAGACGCCTGTGACTACATCCACACACAGACCCAGGGCCGAATTGAACTCGCGTCCAACTGGGCACTGATAAAATGTTGGCACAGTGTCACAGGAGCAGAATCCATTAGTTGTATTGCGCGCTGCGAACGATTCGAATTTCTTGAGAGTTTTGCATAGTTCCGGATCACAGGCATGTGTGACACATATGTTCAGAGTCTGATCGTAGATCTTATATTCTCCACAGCTCTCAAAGCTGGCACTGCCATCGGCTTGGCATGTACAGAAGCCATTAGCCGAATCTTTGGCTGCAAATGTCGTTACCCCAATTGCAGCTCGATTCTGGCACTGTGCCACATCACACAACAAGTCTTCAGTGGTTGCGGCCTTTGCCTTAGGGAGGCATATGCCCAGCGTGGCATCGTATTGTTTGTTGTCGAGGCATTCCAGATAGGTGGCAACACCTTCAAGGCACAGACAGAAGCCAGAAGTTGTATTTAGCGCCGCGAAGTTCGAATTGTCTTTCATTGTGGCACATTGTCCTGGTGTACAGACAGAGCAAGGCGCCTGTTAAAAAAAATTAATTATATTAGAAATCGGATAACAATTCAAATACTCCAAATCAAACCCACCTCGCGTATCATGCATACTCTTTCGCCAGCATTATAGTATTTACCACTCAGACAGTTCTCGTAAATTGCCTCACCACCCTCACACACGCAGAAGCTAGTGTCGTCCGCCTCGTTTGAGGAGGGGAATGTTTGGTATTCGCCCAAGCAAGAACACTGCTCTGAGTCACAGTAGCTGGCCATGCAGCCATTCTATTGAACATATTGAACATGAGTGACGACATCAACTATAGCGATAATAAATTGAATGAGTGGCTTACCACAGGCTCCAAGCATATTCCTAACACGGCATCAAACTGCTTATTGTCGAGACACGGACTGTAATTTGGTAAGCCTTCCTGACAGTAGCAAAATCCGTCAGTGCCATTATTAGCAGCGTAGGCCTCATTCTCGGCAAGAACATCACACTGCGACGCATCACAGACACTGGGACCCTACAATTTAAACAGAACGACAGTAAATGATGAGAGTTAGTGTATAATAAATTCAGTCGTCACACAGCAAGCTTACCGCTGGCTCCAAGCAAATCAGCAGGTCTGGATCGAATTCGAATTCCAGAAGACATGGGGTATATACACCGCAAAAGTCTTTGCAGAGACAAAAGCCAGCTGGGGTATTCGATGGGAAAACCAGATTGTCTGGGCCACTCACACACTGAGTCGAATCACACTCATTGCAAGGGCATGTGGTAGGTTCCTGCAAAATTATATGATGGCAATTACCCAATGAAATGGTCGGATCAGGATATTAGCCTAGAGCACTTACAGCGGGGACCAAACAGATGCCTAGAGTTGCATCGAAAATCATATTATTCAGGCATTGTTTAAAAGATGGCACCTCATCCGTGCACATGCAGAATCCAGTGTCTGTATCCAGAGCCGGGAATGTGACAAAATTTGGCTGGTTAACGCAATAGGTGCTACAGCATCTTGGCTATAATATTGTTGGATTTAAAGAGAAACAGCACATCAAATTAAACGTGAAAGAGCAGACATCGTCGGTACTCCGAAGGAAGCAATCAATTGGTAGAATAGACTTAACTTACATCAGGAATTGGTATAAGGACGCACAGTTCCAGTTCGGAATTGAAGGTATATCCGCGGGGACAGGGCACTGGCGTCGGCTCGCCGGCACGGCACAGACAGAAACTATTGGGATCATCGTAGTTCACGGAAACAGAGTATTCTGGTGTGTCGACACATACTTCTGGATCGCAAGGGCCCGTCTAAAATGAAATGGTATTAGAACATTTTCAACCCTTTTTATCAGACTTCGAGAGAGCATCCTTACAAAAGTGCATGCGCCCAACGCTGCATCAAAACTCAAGCCGGATGGACAGTTATTTAGATACGCGCCATCGGACTGGCATAGACAGAAGGTGGTATTATCACAAGTTAGCGATGGGTAGACCTGATTCACATTGGCCTTCTTGCATTGTGATTGATCACATGAGGTCTGCAATTGATAAATAAGGGAACTTTAGCGAACAGTACCTTTGTTCCGAGCAACATGCAACTCACACTTGGCGTGGCCAGACAAACCAAAAAGGTTGGACTAAACTCTGTGTTAGGGAGACACGATCGAATCGTGGCAATATTGTTGACGCACAAATAGAACCTTGTCACATCGCCGGCAATGGCAATGGCAGTTCGATCAGCTGCTGTGGCACATTGGTTGGCCTCACACGTCACATTGCTGGAGCACTTGCCGATTGCCGAATTGAAGCCCGCGCCGGGCCCACAGTTCACCACCTGGGGAACACCATCGGTGCACTTATAGTACTTGGAGCAGATAGGATTAGCGACATTGCCCGAACCACAACTACAGGGATTTATACACTTGCCGGTGACATCGATGGCACAGGCATCGCCATCGAACCACTCGCCACTGGGACAGCTGGACGGAACGGATACTCCATCGATGCATGTGCTGTAGGCAGTGCAATCGCTGGGATTTATCATTTGATAGCCATTGGGCTTGTTGTTGCACACCCAGCATGTAGCCTCGGTATCGGGCACACAAATGTTTTCACAGCTGCTGAAGATGTTGCCCTGACCACAGGAGCCATCGATCAGCTGACCATTGACACATATCTGATACATGGCGCATTCGGTGGGATGCGGCACCATGCTGCCCTCGTCCATGCCATCGGGGCAGTTGCAGTCATTCTCCGCGGCACGTCGCGTGCGCGCATTCGGTTCCAGCAACTTGTTCTCGGGACACTGATTGTCGTCATCGGGGCGACAGATGCCAACAGACGCATCGAAGTAGTAGCCACCAGTGCAGGACTCTTGAATCCACTTGCCAGCGATACAGGCCAAATAGTTCCAGCAGTCAGCTCCTGCGACCGCAGCTTCGACTCCACTGCACGGGTTACCATCAATAGCAGGGGGTGTCTCAGTGGTGATGATGGGCACAGTTTCTGTGGTGCTGCTTGAGTCTGTGGCTCCCGTGTCGCATTGCGGACACACATTGTTTTCATCCACCAAACAAATCCGGAGCTGGGTATCAAAGTAGCTGCCGCTTGGGCAGGTCTTCGACTCCCAATTGCCATCCTGACACACAAAATACTGATTGCAATTATTCGCATCGTCTGTCAGGGTGCCATCCACGCAGTCTGTCGACGAGCTGTCCGGGCAGCAGCCACTGCTGTCCACCGCGCAATTGCCAAGTTCACCGTCAAAGTAATTGCCTTGCAGACAATCGCCGGGAATGAGTTCACCATTGACGCAGGTGAAGTACATACGGCAGTTATCCGGATTGGGTACCATCTCTCCACTGCTAGAGCCATCGGAGCAACCGCAGTCGGAGGGTGATGCGGTGGTTGTCGAAGTGGAGCTGTCATCACTTGGACATGTGCCGGGCACACAGTGCGGACCGGACTCTTCAAAGTATGAGCCCGTTGGGCACTCTTGAGAGGTGGCCATTTGATTGTAGCACACATAGAAGATGGTGCACTTGTCAGCATCAGCGACCGCTGATCCATCGGCCTTCCCAACGCAGAAGTTCTCCCAGCAATGGGAATTATTCTCATCAACGACACAGCTCGCAACGCTGTCATCGAAATAGGTGCCACTGGCGCAGGTTTTCTGAGTGGTCTGGCCGTCCTCGCAGACGTAGTAGTTCAGGCAGGATGTTTCGCTGGCAATAACTTCACCAGTTGTTTTGGTCAGGCAGAAATTTTGCCAACACACGGATTCGGTGTCGGGCACGCATCCATTTGTGGTTATGTCAAACATGCTGCCTGCATCACAGACTTGAGGATAGGCCACCTGATCGTCACAGATGAAGAATTCCCCGCAGTAGCCAGTCTTGGACAGATATGCACCACTCACCTCACTACTGCAAACATTACTTGGCTGCGGGTGGAGCACATGAAGTTAGTTTAGCATTTAGTCAAGATCTGGTATTCATTATATAAATATTATTTCTTGTGTCCGTCCGGGAAAGAACGAAAACTTGAGAAATTAATTCAAATCCGATCACTTACCTCCGCCAAGGGTGCGGCCAAGCTCAGTTTGCAGAGGCCACGTCTTGCTGTTGAGCATTTGCCGGACTTGGAATTGTACTCCTTGCCGGCTGGGCATTTAAGGGAGCGCACGGTATTCTTGTTGGAGCAGCGGTAGTAACTGGCACAGCTGGTAGGATTTGGCCAGTGGGGTGCCAATCCACGCAATTTCCTGTAGACGCACTCAGGATCGGCAGCGCTGGCAAGGGTTGCCACTGCGGCGAATGTAACCACAGTAAGCAGAGTAACTGTTGTAAAGGTATGGAGAAAGAAAGAAAATGTTAACTCCTTTTGCTAGATTCTCCTTTTTTCCTTTGGGTGGCTGACCTTTCATTTCGGTGCACAAATATTCCACGGCTATTGTTATAATTGCACTCCGCACAGTTACCAAAATTTCAAAGCCTTTATATACATAACAAATAACATTGATTTCTGCTTATCAGCATCGTTCGATCAGTGCGTTCTTATCAGCATTGTCGGTCATGTTCGACATAGTTTTTAATTGAGTTCGAACCTTAGCACCCATCAATTCCGGGAAGACAACAAATCTAGTGTATAGAGACGCACTCAAACCACTCCCCGTTATAGTGCTTGAGTGTTTATGAATGAAGAGCACAATTTGAAACATAGAAGATAAAATACCTAGAAGTCTTTGCATATGTACATTTATTCATATTAAATTATAATTTTTATTATTATGGTTATTAGGCGCAAACAGTATCGCATGTTTGATTCTTCGAGTCCCAGTAGAGATTAGATGGGCATCGTTTTATATAACCCTGCGTTCCATCGCATTGGATAAACAAATGACAGTCATAGGGATGTGGCAGGTACTGCATACCAGGATGGCTTCTGCACATGGCATCAGCATCCACATCACAACATCCTGTTGTTATTGGTATGGGAATTGTAGTCGCTTTCGTATCTGTCGCCGTTGTTGTGGTCCAAATTGATGAAGCCTGTGTCAACTCTGTTGGGGGAACGTGTGTAGTAGAATCATCTGGAAATTGTGTTTCGGTAACGAGCGTGGATGTTTTGGGTTCAGTTGGAGGCTGTGTCAATTCTGTCGACGCTGCATCTGTTGTAGCATCCGACTGCTCTGTGAGTGGAGTATCACTTGAAATCTGTGTTGTTCCAGTGGGCAATGCCTGTGTTGAAGATGAAGTTTTTAGTGTCTCTGTTGATTCATCGTCGGTCGGTGTTGCTCTTGATTGAGTCGTTGATGGAACTGTTGTTGTTGTTGTTGTTGTCGTTGTCGTAGTCGATGGAGTGGGCTTGACGCATAGTTTTGCATGGAGAGCTGTTATCAGCAACAGCAGCTGCAATCCTACAAATATCCAGGAGACCACTGAAATAAACAGAGACATTCCTTGACATATCTCTCAGGTAATTAAAGGCAACTTGCTTCTAACAAAACTCACGTTTCATCTTGTTCGGAGTTCAAGTAGCTGTCAGCACTAGAGCAACTGCAAGCGATTCTATTTGTATTTATATTGTTTGAAAATGCATCATCGTCCATTTGTCTTATCAATATCTAATTAGCATTTGACATGCCACTAATACTTTTATCTTATCTGAATAATGATATGATTTGCATTATAGTTACACATTTCAATTAAATCACCAACGTCAACTTTAGACAATAAATAGCAAACAAATTGACCACTAGAAAATTTTCTTAGTAATAGCGTAATAAATTGATTTTGGCCAAATTTAATTTCTTATTTGGTTTATTATATTTTTTATGTCATTATTGGAAGGGGTTCTTTTGAGTAGAGTATAAGCCGTTAGGCATATTTTATCGCAAAAAACATGTATTTATTTAATTTTTAAGCTGCCTAAAAGTATGCCAAGCAAAATTTAACCATACTGTTATTTAGTATCAACAATCTTTAAATTTGGAGTAAATCTTTAAAGCGTATGGTAGTAACAATCTAGTCCATATAAATATTATTCGCTTCTACCATTCTTACCACATTCAACCACATATTTATGTAATTTATTTTTGTATATATTTACATATTTAAAGGAGTTAATCAACTATTATATCTTTGTGTCCGACAGTATTTTGTGATTTTATCCACGCAACTATATCAATTTAATGAAAGGGTCGATTAACAGTGAAGGCATGTGAATTGACTTATTTGTGTCAGCTATCAATATCCATTTGTTAGCAACTGCAAATCGATTAATAGTAAAAAAAGTACTAGGGAACTGTGAATAATATTAATTCTAATGTTTTATTAACATTGCAGTCATAATGAACCCAATTGGCAGGACAGCAGAAATAAATTAGAGCACTTTAAACATGAGAGGCAAACAGATACTTTTTTATTTAATTGTTTTCATTACAACATAATTTATTTTAATATCAAATATCAAATTAATGGCATTATATGAAATAATCATTTTCAATGCAATCAATGTTAATGCTAATCCATTTGAGGAATTAACTACATTCGAAACGTCAACTATTGAGCCCATCAACTGAAATACTAACTTATTCTACAATTAAAATAGAAACGACATTAGAACCAAGTGTTATTTGTGATGAGGGAATGGAAAGTGTTTATATGGTTATGCAATTTCGAATTCTTGTTCTAATATTCTCTATATATCTCTCACTAAGAGATTTCTCTTGCGATTCGCAACATTATAAATTATATTGTGAATCACATTGTGAATCATCTGGAGATCCATTTATATATATGATTTCTGATTATACCCTATTTATTAAGTGCGTTCATATTGAATTTGGAAACAAAGAAAATTAAATTAAATTAACTAAATGTTATTAATAATTTAATTTTAATTACTCAAATAATTAAGTAATAAATGAAATATTACCTATTTGAGAGAGACTCAGACTGCTCATTGTTTGGCCTTCCTGTAGAACATGTTCCAGAGTCAATCTTTGGCCTAATTCTGCAGTGGCATCCTTGAAGAAACCTGCGATTACTCAATTGGAGTTTTAACTCCTGTTTCGACAATTCCTCGATTATCAAATATACTTAAATGTTTTTTGCTATTTAAGCCATGAGAAGCTCGTCTTCTTCGTCTGTCATTATGGCTATTCGAATGGTAGTCGTTGCCCATCTTGGACACCTTGGGCCATTGGCCATCTTAAATTGACTAGATTCAACTGGAGCATTTTACATTTATAATAATATAAATCTACTTTATTGATTTAGGGAAAAATCAGTTGGCTGCCTTCGGAAACATAACAAATTTAAAAATACAAATGGTTGCACCAAATAAATACACTTCATAAACTGGAACAGCAAAGAAATGTTGTTATCACGGACAAGAAAAGTACGGAAGATAAATATCTACAGTCACTGCGAAACACATTTTTATCAACAGTTGCAAGTACAACAAACTTTAACCTTGAAATTGGTATCAAACTAACCTTAGCCAATATCTCTCGCAAATTCGTAGCCCACCCAAATTGCAAAAACTTATACTTTCCGCAGTTTTAATACATTTAACATGAACCTTAGAAATTGTTTAATTCTTCCAGAAGGTTATTTTCCACCTGCTAGTAACTGGTAGTCAGCCAGCACTCGGCAACGAGCACGCCTGTTTTCTATAGTGAAACAATAGAGGGTATTTAACATTTGGCGTGCCTGAGAAAAGTATTCTCTGCTCGTATTATTGTTTATGCCAACTTTTTATATTAGTCAAAGAATTTCTGAAAGACAACACATAAATTGTGTATGAAAAAATGATCACGAAACCAATTATCAAATTCACAGACATAACAAGTGTAATCAAAAGATTAAAGGCTGCGTTTCTTCCAGCTTTTTATCTGAAATGGTATAAAAGAGTAGGTGCTGAGTTTTTGAAGACAGTGGAAATTATTTGTGTAACGAGACAAAATGAGAGCGTTCAGTAAGTATTAACAATTAACAATTCGATTGCTTACCTAAATCATTTATCCTACAGCATTTGCAATTGTTGGCTTGATGGTTGTGCTTGGAACCAGTGCACAAAGTTTGCAAGACGTAAGTGAATATGAATAATGAATATGAATATGTATATGAGTTCAATATTTGAGTTTGCATTTCAGCAATGTAGGGGAATTGAATACGATTTGATCCCTCACCCGGCTGATAAGAAGAAGTTCATAGTGTGCGTCTTCGAAGTCCCAGAAGAGCGCACGTGTGCAAATGATCATTGTTTTGATCCTAAATTGAAAAGCTGCTCCGAGATTGCTTGCAATCCGATTGTGCCCAGTGACAAAGCGGTCGCAGTTGCGTATTGCCATGACTTGGGCCCAGCAGAGAGGATACCTTCGGTGGATTGCTCCCACTTCTGGATATGTTTGGGCGACTTGGATCCCGTTTATGTGGCATGCCCGGATGGCAAACACTACTCACGTTCTGAGCAGGCTTGCATCTCGCCACCGCTGGCCAAGTGCACCACCCACGAGAAACTGTGCGCCTTCCCCGAGACCGCCTTCTATCCTGCCGAGAACTGTAATGAGTACTACGCATGCGACAAAAAGAATCTGGTGAAGCACACCTGTCTCTACGGTCAGGCCTACAGTGCGGAGAGCACATCGTGCGTCCCGGACTTCGATCACTCCTGTGCCGCTCCCACAAAACCAGATTGCCAGAATCCGGCCAACGCTGATGCCTACTTCTCGCATAGCGACTGCTCCAAGTTCTACGTTTGCATTCAGACCCAAGTCTACGAGGGAAAGTGCGCCAATGGCTTCGGATTTGACAGACAGAGTTCGAATTGTATGCCGGGCATCTGTAATGCTTAGATTCTAAAATTAAAAAAAAAAAAAGTTTAATAAATTATTGGATACAGCATGTAAGTTTTTGTTATACCCTAGAAAATTTTAAAATGTAATCACAAAGCATGAAACACATTAAAGTAAATATCTTCATCGTCGATCAACTGTCTGTCTCGCATAGCTCTTATTTAATGGAAAACTTTATTGATTTCCAAGATTCCCAAACCAAATCACCACTTATTAGTATTATTATGCCATTAGGAACTGTGCTAAATAGTCAACAACAGACTATTAAATGACAATTATATAGTGTGGGAAATCTTATTTCTATTATTTATTGAGCTTAATAAATGTCAAAGCTATGTTATGATGGAAGGAGTGTTCTAATGCTCGAGATGCCATAGATAGGTCCGTTTTCATTTTAATATTTTATATGATCACTCCGATCTCAGAGTCTTCAATAAATAAAGACTTCAAATGTCAAATATATGCATCAAGTTTGTTACGATTTATTGACAACAGTTCCACAGATTCCACAAAATCGATAAGCATCAAAAACTTTTAAATTTTATTAGATATGGCTTTCAAATAAGTTTTGAATATATCTTGATGAAATATTGATTGAGTTGATGGTATCTCTTTATCTCGATAAGAACATTCTTATTTGCCATATAATTCAAGAACTTCCACATATTTCTCTCACCTATATACATAAATCTAACAGTCCAAAGTATCAAAGTAATACAAATAATTTAGCATAGCTATAATATAAGCCATTTAAAATGCATTTATTTATTTTGTGTGCAATTCATATTTTTCTGATAAATTTCAGTTGCACTTTTATTACAAACATATTTTGTCACAAGTAAGCAACTTGGAGTTCCAATATAGGAACGGAGGGCAAATCTTCACGAATGGCAGATAGTCGCACTGGATAAAACGAGTGCAGTCTCCTGGGAATGGTATGAAAACCTCCTTCTGAGCAGCACACAGAGCGAAAAGACTCTGAATATGTTCATCTCGGCTAGAAGTCGAATTCGAGCTGTGATTGAAATTTGTTGGTTTTATAATGCTTTTAATTTCACATCGTTGCAATTGGGGTTTCCAACACGATTCAGGTGGGCAACTCAGAGTGCGTTTCTCATAGTAGAGATTGCAATCCCCTGGATAGGGTATATGTGTCAAGTCATTGGTTTGATCGCCAATGAGTGTTTGTGGGGTAGAGAATCCAATCAAGACAGACAGGCCGGAAACTATCCAAATTTGCAAATTCACTGTCAAAATAATAATTATCAATTAAAAATTAACAATTACCAATTATACGTTTGATGGTCTTAAATTACTCACTTTTATTTCCGTTGACAAGTGCAGACAAAGTTAGTAAGTTGCGATGTTTTATACCATTTCTTAGGGAGCCCTTATCGCAATATCAACGTTATTACCAAGTCAATAGTAATATTTAACAACAAGACAATAAGCAGAATAAGAATAAGAACAATAAGAAGACAAGATATATTGAATTATATCTAGGTATTTAAATAGTAAGCACTTCATAGCTAAATGCGGTAAAATTTCAACAGCTAAGAATGTAAGAAGACAAAACAGATATTTAGAAAGCACTTGACAATATTTACACATCATACACTTACACTTAAGCTGTTTTATTGATTCTCTGAAAGGCTTAAAGATACCGGCGATTACACTGATAAGCCAAAATATAAAAAGGCGCTTGTAAGTGCCAAGAGCATTGAGTGCTTTCTCTGACTTCTGCTGATCAAACCAAAAGTAATTACCAATTAAGCGACACTAGAAATTCAACTGATTTATTTACTCATATTCTTAACAGCCATGAAATTTAAGATCCTCATTTGCTTGACTGTGGTCACTTTAGTAACCACTGGCTATGGCGACACAGCTAATGGATCGGTAAGTCTACGATACTTAACAGTGGAATTTGTAATTATTAATTCACTTTTTCTTTCATTTGCCATACAGGTTATACAGGCTATAGCCCCTGTTCCACATAGTCAGTGTCCACTTTATGACGATCCCAATCATATTGTGATGCTAAGCTATCCCAATGATTGCAAAAAGTATTACACCTGTTTAAATGGCCTGGGATACGTCAATCAATGTCCCGACAACTACTATTGGAGTCAGCTGACTTACCGCTGCGACAATAAGCAGTATTCCACTTGCGGAAATGGCGATTATCCAGACACACCTAGTTCCATTGAGTACAGCGCCTATCCGGGAGATTGCAGTCGCTACTACGAGACTCGTCTACTCCGCTGCCAGGACAACTATCACTGGAACGCTCGCCATGAGCGCTGCGATCTGCCACAGATTGCGGGCTGCGTGGCATCTCCGATTCCCTTTCCGCCATTTACCACCCCGAATCCCTTAGTGCCAACTGCTGCAACTCCGCCATCCGGACCCCAATCACCAATGCAGCCTGGATCCAATAAACCGATAAATCTCGATGATCTCTGCAATAGTGCCATTGGGCAGAAGTATCTGCCATATCCTTTAGATTGCAACAAGTTTATCTACTGCGGCTCAACAGCTTCTGTCCTAAACTGCCCCACCAACTTGTTCTGGAATCGTAATACCCAGTCATGTGGATCATCCAACATCGGCTGTCCATAGGATCATTGCGGAACTGGCTAGATACGACGATAACGAGATACGTAAGGAGCTAACTTAATAAGAAAGATTAAACATTTGTGTCGCAGATTAAATACCATTCAGACAAATAAATTATTGAGCAAGAACATAAACATCAATAATCAATTAATCCCTTCACACAGATTGAAGCTATGTTAAATCGAAGATATAGAGACATAACCTTATGATATTTATACAAAGCAAACAAGTTCCTAGAAAAGCTCAATTGTTAAATGAATCTTTTGATATAATGAGCGGTAAATTCTTTTCCAAAGGTAAAAGACAAAATCGAAAAGTGAATCTCGATAAATGCACATATCACGTAAAAGAAAACTGTCACCAAATTTGGAAGGTAGATTGTATGTGTCCTTCTTCAAAGATCGGTACGATTTTGAAGATAGAGTGACTAAACTTGGAAGATAATTTGCTGGTAACCTCCTCAAAGAAACGGCATATCAATTTTCAGACCACGCCCACACCCGCCGGCCCCAGGAACTTCGACCCTACAAATCTGAAATGCGCATATCTTCCACAATTTGTCACCAAATTTAAAAAGTATGTTACTGGTAACTCGCCTAAGAGATTGATACAAAATTGGATGGCCACGCCCAATCCCCACTCCAAGCCTCCCTAAACCGATACCACTATTTGTGTAAATCGATAAGACCATATATCGCACATAATTCGAAAGCTAGAGTTACCAAATTTGAAAGGTAAGCTGCTAGTAACATTCCTTAAAAATCCGGAAAAGAAAATGTTGAATCACGCTCATTCCCGCCCCTAAAAACGAGAAAAGCCGATGTCTCCCGCTTTAAGAGCTAAAGTTACCAAACTTGGAAAAAGTTACCAAACTAAGATGGCACTGCAAAAAAATGTTTGGCCACGCCTACTCCAGTCCATATCTCCGGTAACTTAAGAGCTACCAAACTTGGAAGGAAGATTACTAGGAATTTTCCCTTTTAATTTTTTCGGCCACGTTACTATCTTATATCTATCGCAATTTGAAAGGCAAACTTGGACAGTATTTCTTGGTTACATCCACCCTGGCCTTTGCTACCTATTGTCAGCTTGTATTACGTATGATATCAAAGTATCGCAGTCGGTTACGCCTGATTGAAATGTTCTCTCTTGTTTTTGTCTTAAACAATATTCTCTGAATGTTAAAAATGTGATTCTTTATTTATTCAATGCATATTAATACAGCTTACTAATATTAAACAATAACAAAATGTTTAATGTAACTTTAAATTCTAAAAGAGAAAAAACATTTACCTTTGGTAGCATATTATCGAATATGCTACAAACTTCATATTCCAGAATAGCAAAAGCAGATCAGAATATTAAATTGTATAGTATTATTGTAATTTTTAATATCACAATTTTTTATATTTATACTTTACATATTTTATGTTGAGTCTCTTGTCGAATGTATTTGATTTTATGAGAGTTGTGTTCTTAAAAACTCTGAAGCCAAAAAAAGAACTCTGTTTAAGGAATTTAAAGTCTGTTTGTTATCTTTATATTATTACCTGATAGATTACAAAACTTGTCAAATTAAATGAGTTTTTTTAGAGATACAATTAGCTGCCTGGGCATCCATGCAGAGCAAGTGGGTCGGACTAAACTGCTCATTACCAGGGCAGACGTAGGCAACTGCAATGGGTTCTTGGCACACTATGTATTTTGTGCAGTTGTTCGGATAAGGAATAAGCGATCCGTCAGCTTTGCCTTCACAGAAATCATCATCGGTGGATTGATTCGATTCCGTTGTGGCAGCCACTTGAGTTGTGGTTGTCGGGGTAGCTATAGTTATAGTTGTTGCAAACGAACAGTTGGCAACCCATGGAGCCATGCAACGTTCCAAAATCGCACTAAACTCCTGTCCAACAACACAATCGTATGCCACAGGACCCGCACTGGTGCACTCAATAAACTTGGTGCAGTCGTTGGGATAGGGCACAAGCTTGCCTTCCGTTACGCCCTCACAAGGATGCGGTTGAGGTGTCGTTGTTGGTGTAGGCAGGGTTATCATTTCTGTAGTGGTCGTGTCCAAATCTAATGTGCTTGTTGTGTAATCCTCAAGGCATGCGTTGGGCGGAACGTTGGCACCACACTCACCACTCCATGGATCGTAGTACTCGCCGCTATTGCAAACGCTCAACATGAAGACGTTATCGTTGACACAGCGGAAATACCATTGACAATTACCCGGATATGGAAATGTTATATCCTTGCCGTTCTTGCAGGTGCCGGGAGATGGAGTTGGCTGGTCGCCAGGCGGTAACACTGTGCTGGATGTGGCCTCACAATCACTTTGCTCCCAGTCAACACACTGCTGAAGCGCCTCGCTGAAGTAATAGCCGTATGTGCAGTAAAATGCAACGGGAACAGGCTCTGCGCACACTATATATTTACTACAGTTATCAGGATAATTCACATACTCGCCTTGCACCTTTCCAGCACAGATGTCTGAACTAATAGGCTTTTCTGTTGTTGTTGGTTCAATGGTAGTTGACTGAGTCGTTGACTGAGATGTTGACTGAGTTGATGACTGAGTTGTTGACTGTGTCGTTGACTCTGTGGTTGTAGTTTGAAGGGATTCCTGGCATGCTGTCGGTGACACATCTTGTCCACAATCGCCCGTCGCCGGATCATACCAAGCATTGTAAATGCAGTTGGCTATGACAGAATCGCCATTTCCCAAACACAAAATATATCGCTGACAGTTGCTGACAAATGGATATGAGACACCTAGCTCTTGGCCCGCACACAGATCGCTTGGACTTGGCGTTGTCTTTGGAGTGGTGCTTGTAGTTGTTGTTTCTTGGCATGCAGTTGGTGGCACGGCGGGACCACAATTGCCAGTCGCTGGATCGTACCAAGAATTGAATGGGCACTTGGCTTGGACAGACTGATCGTTTCCCAGGCATAGAATGTACTGTTGGCAATCCTCAGCATAAGGAAATGATGCGCCCAGATCTTGATCCTGACACGGGTTGTTGTCTTCGCTGGTTACTTTTGGAGCTGTGTTGGTTGTAGTGGCTGTGGTGGTTGTGGTAGCTGTGTTGGTTGTGGTTGTCATTTCAGTAGATTGTTCGGCATAGCACCAAGCCTCGTCCGGTTCGTCACATACGAGTAAATTTGGATTGAAGAGATAGTGCTCGGGACACGTATGGAGTACAACTTGATGATTGATGCACACTATAAACTGATCGCAGTGCTCCAACGAGGGCAGCACAGCTCCGTTTGCTTGATCCACGCAATCATCCGGATACTCGGATTCGCTGCAATTAACTGCTTCGGGTGTATCACAAATTTGCAGATCTTCATTGAAGAGTTTACCGGGAGCGCAATATCTTAGCTCTGTTTGGGAATCGTTGCAGGAAATATATGCAGCACAATCATATGGATATTCATAGTAGCCTGTTGGCATATCTTCACAATAATCTGTATCAATAATTGTGATTGATTCAAATGATATTATCGTTGCTGTTGTACTTTTAACAGCGTTCACTGTTTGATTGAAGTCCTTTTCTTCGCTACTGACTCTGCTACTCCTGGCTGAAGTCCTGCGAAAAGCAAACACGATCAACAGCGTGGTCAGGGTGAGACACTTCCAGTCATAAGCTAGAATATAAGAAAAAATACTATTTATATAATTATTTTTTCCTTATTTTTAATTGAAATTTTATTTAAAAATGTATTTTTATTTTAATACATTTTTTACTTTTGTATTTTTTTGTGTCGAGCTAAGGTCAGCAGACATTTAATAAATAAATAAATACAAAATAATAATAATTTGTTAAAAATATAAATTAATATACATATATTGATCCATACAGTAAACCTGCAACACGAAATACAACACAACCAAGGCAAGCATTTATATCGGTTTGACTAAGAAAAAGTGTTATTGTATTATATTTTCGAATTTGGTGACGAATGCGATAATAATAATCTGGGCAAAATCGACAATTTGAAAGTATGTTTCCGGTAGCTCCTTTCAAAGATCGATAAACAAGAAAATTGGATCGCCACGCCCGCTCCGCCTCCCAAAACCGATTTACCTGATCACCATCAGGTACATCGATAAAACCATTTATCTCACACAATTTGAAAGCTTGATTTATCAAATTTAAAACGAACATTGCTAGTAACACCCTTCAACGGCCGGAACACTTTTGGACCACTTTCACTCACACCCCCAAAAACGGTAAAAGCCTATTTCTCAAACAATTTTAGAGCTAAAGTTACCAAACCTGGAACGTAGACTACTAGTAAACTCAATTTTTTCACAAAAGCTTCTATCGACAGCAATTTTAAAGGCAAATTTGGAGGATGGATCACTAGAAATCTCGCTCAAAGATCACTACACCTACATTCTCCAAAAGATCACAAATGCCCATGTAGTGTTGCGCATTGCAACATTTTGCGGTGTCGATTTCGATTTGGTGTCTGTGAATGGTGAAGTTTTCAAAAACTTGAGCCACTTCCAATAGTAATCAACGATTGGCCGGAAACGAACAGTTTTTTGCCATAAAGTGATAACCTGGCAATATTCGATGCTTGATGTTATACAAACAGTTGTTGTTGAGCAACATGAAGCTGCTGTGGTGGTTGATATATCAATTGCTGTATTTTGTGCTGTATATAGTTGTTGTGGTTCTTGAACAACATGCTGTTATTAAAGTTTTTGAAGTGGTTGTTTTCATTGCTGCTGTGGTTGCTGTTATTGTGATCGTTGTTATTCTGATTATTGTTGTTACTTTCGTTGATTTAGTTTTTGTTGTGGTTATTATTTTTTCCCAATCATTCACATTATGTTATATTTATATTAAATCACTTAATTATGATTATGAAAGAAAAGGTATCAACTTTTTTCCCCAAAAAAAAAAAAACAAAAACAAAAACAAAAACTATTCCGCCGACTACATAATTAAATTATTATTTTTTATAGCTAAGACCAACCACCTGCCAACAAGATATCCATAATTTTATTGGCAATTTTGAGAGACTTTCAAAAAATTAATATGCAAAATTGGTTAACTCGAAATATAACACCTTCGGTCTGTAAGAATCATTTAAGCTTCGCTATCACACATATTTGTTCATTGATATTTATTGGTATTTACTTTTCATTTTTGTTGTTGTCTGTGTTAAAGTTTTAGATTGTTTTTTTCTTTCACTAAATAATATATGAAAATCTTGAGAGTTAGTTTCTTTAGTTAGTCCCTGGTATTTATAAACTTTATTCGAACTATTATTTTTAAATTGTTTGTTGTTAGTTATACCACGGGTAGAAAGCAACTGAAATCTAATGAAACTCAGAAACATATTTTCGTAAGGCTTTCAGTGTAATAATGAAACGGAAAGATAGCAGTTAATCATATCAAAATTGAAGCCACTTCTGGTGATAGTAAAGACGCACGGATACATTCGATAAGATTTTGGCAGAAATTCAATTGAATTCCTATTATTAATTAAAGACAACATTCTAGTCAAGGAAAACCTTTTGGTGAGTCAATTGTTTATTTCTTATATATTTTTAGAAATTATCATTCAAAGTAGAAATTAATGGCTTTTCAGAGTTGAATAATTGAAATATGTTATCATGTTTCTGCAAGATGTGAAAGGCCTTAAATGAGCTTTCATATAGATGGTCCTCAACACCGAAACCTCTATAGATTTTTGGACGGTTTCTTCAGGACACACAAACTATAAAAAATAACTTCATTCCAACCTTTTTTATTCGGATTAGAAAACGACTGCTGCTCTTGTAAGGATTATATCCCACAAATTAATATAGTTTATTTTTTCCAATAACTGCATTCATTTTTGAAAAATGTATTCAAAGGGGAAATTACTGCACTTTCTAAACAAAATACTACAGACTAAACAGCCACGTCATCCCCACAAATGGACAAAATAATCTCTCGTCTGCTTGTTCGTTACTCTGCCTGTTCTTGTTGTACAGAAGAAGAGTAACACACATCACATTTAATACCAGCTAAATATATCTCATAAAATCTATACTATTGATTTTACTGAATCGGGGAATCAAGCAGTAACCAATTCAAAAGTATTTTTACGGCATGCAATTCATAGGTTTGAAAAAAGAAGTGAGAATGTTCGAGTCGGATGTAAGTGACTCTCCTACCCCATAAGGTATATACAATTCTTCTTGATCAAAGACTACAAGAGCTAAAGACTTCATATTTGCTTGGGCGCAGACACATTTTGAATTTAGATTCTGAATCCGATTCTGAATTTCAATCGATAAGCATGTAGTTCCGATTCCGGTATCGGTTTGACACGCTATAAAATACATTCAATAACTTTCTTTCAAAATAAATAATCATCAGTAATCATCAATGGTGCACACAAAGTGTTTGCATACTTTTGGCTATCGTTCTTTTTAAATACTCATTACATATTTTTAGGAGTATTTTTTAACCTTCTTCAAGATTGTTCAGGCAGCCAATTAGAATGTCAAGCAATTGTATCGTACATATATATATATATAGTATATATACAACTATACTATATATATGTTTGTACTCATAAACAAAGTAACGGTGTACATAAACTTGTTTCTATTCATAAATAAAGTATGAGGAGGCCTTATTAGAAACTTGTATTGTACTTTATATACTGAAGGGGCATTCACTATTTAGATATCAGTTGTAATATTTTCTGATTTTATCAATTCACTTTAAAAATGATAAGAAAAAGTGCCTGTCACATGGGAATTTTCGATAGTGCTATCTCACCATACAATTTACATATTGGCACAACATTCAAAGTTCCCAAGACAATTCGGAACATAAAATAAAAGTGAAGATACTGCGAAGTTACAGTTTATGTGCGATTTTGAACATGGTAGGAGACATGAAGTTTGTAGTCGCCCTCTGGATAATATTGATTCTGCATAAGACAGCCGACGCCCAATTGAAGGTAAATGATGAAACGCACTGCATCGTGGATTATTCAATAATGCTTTTATCTCAAAGGATGGCTTTATGTTCAAAACACCCATATGTGTGGGAAAAAATGGCGCTCTATTGCCTATGTTTGGTAGATGTCGAGGATACTACGTTTGTAATGACGGCAGGGCTGTAGTTGGATCCTGCGACGAGAACAGTCGATTCAATCCACTTACTCTGCATTGCGATGATGCAGACAATGTTATATGCCCCTACGAAACTTCAGATCGTGATGAGGAAATTGATTCGGATGGTTCAGAAAGCGATGAATCGGAATTCGACAGTGATGAGATCGAAGAGACGACAACCACTGCACGACCCGTTCTTACTTCAAAGCCACCAAAACAGCAAAAACCACACACATTACTGTCACAGCCGAATATGGTTGATGCGGATGATTTATGTTGGGGCAGAAAAAGTGGAGTAGCCTTGCCTAAAGCAGACTCCTGCACTGAGTACTACGTGTGCAAGTCTAAAAAAAGTCCAACTGCGTAACTGCCCAGCTCGACAGCACTTCAGCCCAACTCGTCACATTTGCATGAAAGCATCGGAAGCCAAGTGTACCATCAACCAGAAGTGGCTGCAACCGGAAGAACCCTTGTCAAGCCCAGCAATAACTGCTGGCTTTTGCCCCGATGAGGAGCAGGATGCGCTAATTCCCCATCGTGATGACTGTGGTAAATTTATGCTCTGTAGTAACATGATGTTCCTGGTGATGAATTGTCCAACAGGATTGCATTTCAATGCGCAGTTGAAGCGCTGTGACTATCCAAAGATCGCACAATGCGAACTGCCAAATAAGCCAAATAAGAAAAATAAGAAAAAATTATTAAAGAAGATTAAATAAATATAAATATTTAATCAAAACAGCAATGCAATTTAAATGGTTTTCGAAATTTTTTTGATTTTTTGTTTTTTCTCGAGATTAATTTGTTAATTATAGGAAAACTTTAAAATGTAATACAACATTCCAAAGACCATCTGTGCATCTGTGTTCGACAAGAATATTTATTTAAGTGTACTATATGCGATCCGGTCGGACGTATGCACTGCTTGCAACAAAAAGAAAGATATATTCGAAGACAATTTTAAGGCTGGTTCGCATCGAAATATATACAGTGTCTCAGACTTTATTTCGACCAGTCTCTAGCAAAATATTTAAAGTGCTATAACGTTTAAACAAGGAAGCAAACGCAAAATGTTTAAATGCCAAATTGTTTCATGTTATATCACGTTTGAAAAAGAAACTTTAGTGTTTGCTTAAATATTAATTAATTCATTAAAATTAGTCAAAAACTGAAAACAGATCCAAAATACATGTCAAAGCTTATTTAGAACAGACATAAAAAAGTAATATATTTTCCGTATAAAAGGATGTTAATACTTAGTATGATATCCTTTAGTCTTAACAACTTCCCTTAAACTATTATTCATGAAAGAAACCAGCTTCCGGGTAGTTTCTGGGTTGATTTTGCTCCACTCATCCAGCAGAGCATTTTTAAGATCCTGTTTTTGGATATGCTGTGATTTCGAATGCTATTTTCCAATAGAGCCCACAAGTTTTCAATAACTAGGCCGGTGGAATTCCAGGATGAGTCTCCGTTGTTCAATGGTAGTTCGTTTGCCCACAGTCCTTGTCCCCTGGTTGCACCCGAGATGCACGATATAACTAAACTGACTACGAAGGATTGGTCTATTTATACTGCAAATATTCAACCTACTACGTAAAAAATCCGGGTTTTATGGCAACCAGGTATCCGTAATGCAACTGTTCGAAATAAGCGTTGACCATAAATTAAGGTACTTTTTTACATAACCCCACCTAGCAGGTGGGAAAATCCGAGTTTATGGTGGTCATATATTCATTTTGGTTGTTAATATATATACCTGCCATCGGTCTTTGGAATTTTTGAAAAATTATGTATAATTAGTTTATGATCGGCAGTTAAAATTTTTGCTATACACTTGTCTAAATAAGGTCTGAGACACTGTATATATGTAGATAGATTGACGGAGATGGCTATTTAGACTCGGCTACTGGTGCTGATCAAGACTATATATACTTTATGGGGCTACACACCATTTGTCGAGATTTCAACAAAATCGATAGAAATATAATGAGATTATATGTAGCTCTTGGGTGTAATATGAGAACATCTAGAGAAGCAAGTTTTAACTAGATATTACCTTAAATACACCAGAATAAATGTTAACCGTTATAAAAGGCTGCGCTGATTTGGCCAATCTTGGAATTGAACGACTACCAAAAAATTGATATTACAGTGCAACGACGTTGTTGACACATATACACACTATAATTACCAGCAAACTGCAACTTGTCTTATTTATATACAACTGAATCATTATGCCATATTCACTTGGAACCAGCGTCAAATGAACTTTGGATCAATGCGAGTAATTGTCTGTTGCAGGCTTCTGCTAATGTGATAACAAGCTGCTGTTAATGTAGATAACAGGCCACTGGTAATGTAGGTAACAGGCCATTGGTGACTTACAACAGAGACTGTAATTAACAACAGTAACATAACATGCACCCACGATACGAAACATACGATATCGAAATCGATGGATATCGACATGCAATCCAGCTTGAAGCAGATCAGCTCAATTAGTTACGAATAAAGTGAGGGAGCTGTCATGTTTGGAAGAACTATTCAATTTAGATATGTCTGCTACAAATATCAGAGCTGGGATAAAAAATTCATCGCTGGGACTACTAAAATTTGCATTGTGAAATAGCTTCTGCGTAAAACTTACTCGAGCAGCTACGCTTGATAACGGTGAATGAGAATGTGCGGAGGAAACGGACGGCGGCAACTGTCGCGACGGCCGCTGCCATCAACGAAAACGGCCGCTGTGAAATTGAACAAGCAGTCGGGCACACCGGTGTACAAAGACGAAGCAAAAGACATCGGCGCATTCCAGTTGGCAAGTTGTATGGATTTCGATCGTAATTTTCAAGTACATAATTGAAGCGGCCAATTGGAGGCTGTTGCCGAATTGTGCGAACTGACAGGTGCAGCGAGTAAATTGATTGATAATTTGAATAATTTGTTAAAATATGACGGTTAGATTTCTGATAATTAGTACAAATTGTTAGTAGAGATATAAATGAATAACATAATAAAATAAAAAAAATAGGCTTTTGTTAAGTTTTTAAGTTCCAGTTAAAATATTAGTGTTACATTATAAAATTAATGATGTATAGCATAAATTAGAAAAAAAATATTGTTAGCTCTAAATGATTTTGATAGAGAACTATCCCATGGTCAGAATGGCCGAGTAATGTATGCAACATACCACCAATGACGTAGAACTGAGACTGTGATAACTGCGCACAAATAGTGGGAAAGTCTGGGGAAAACAGATAGGCTTCGTGAAGTCCTCCATCTATTTGACAAGGCTGGTCTGCTGCTCTGTTATTGCTTCGCAAGCCGCTAAAAGCTGTTAGTACTGTCAACGATTCTATCAACAATATTTACCCCTGTTTGGGTTCGTAAATATGTTGCTGGACGATGATAGATTGGCGGTACCGGCATCCCCACCCTGGATCTTATCGCAGCAACTGTGTGTTAAGTAGAGAGGCCTCACTAAGGAGGCTGTTAACCAACCAACTGTACCAACCTGCACGTATTAAGAAGAATGCATATACTGCTGCATGCACAATTGTGGTGATGTAGTGGTCAGATTTTGAGGGTGAGTTTAGTCGTGATACCTTGATGAGCAAGACAATATGTTAAGCGATATGATAGTTTGATCCGGCGCCAACATAAGTATTGAATGCAGCAAACAGATTCATAAAAATAACTTTAAAACTCCGTCGCACAGAAAGGAGAGGAGGACGGACGGTCAGAAGGACATCTCTACAAAGTTTACAACCAGCTTATAACCAGATCTGCAAAGGTATAAAGCTATAATTGGAAATATAGAATATCTGCGACATAAGCTTTTAGATGTCGGAGAAAATTATAAGGAGCTATAAAAACGTGTGCAGCTTCAGATACGTTTATTAATGAATTTAGCAATTGGAATTTTCAGGCCAGTCGCAAGACCGGACATTCTGATTAAACACTAATCCGGCGGAACATGTGAAGTTCACCTCACATTCGCATTGGCACACAATATAGGCTCCACTGCAGGCGTTGGTCGCATCGGCGAACATGGCACCATCACGTTGTCCCACACAGCGACCACCGCTCTCACAGTAAGTGCCCGAGGGTCCGGCAGAGGGTCCACTCGGTGGTGGACTGCCATCATCGCAATTAACATTCTCAGGGTAGTCGCATTCCAGTGTCAAGCTATTGAACTGTAGATTATTGGGGCATTTCATCTGGATCTTGTTGCCATAAAGACATTGGATGAACGCGGAGCAGTTATTGGCAACGGACCCAATCCAGTTGTTAGGTTTATCACAGCACTCGCCTTCGCAGGTGTTTGGAATGCACACGCCCTCAGTATCGACAACACAAGTCAACAGTTGTGCATTAAAATAGGTCTGACTGCCGCACTTTCTCGGTACCAGTGCATTGTCCACACATTGCAAATAGCCAGCACAATCGGTCGGATTCACCTGAAGCTCGCCATTCGTGCATGGGGTGTTGCCATTGCATTGTCCATTGTCCGTTTCACACTGGCTGGTTTCTGAGTTCCAGTAGTTTCCAGTGGCACAAGATTTCGACACAAACTGACCATTGGTACACAGTTGATATTTGGTGCAGTCAGTAGAATCTGCCTGGGTTTCTCCATTGGTGCATGGGGCGTTGCCATTGCATTGTCCATTGTCCGTTTCACACTGGCTGGTTTCTGAGTTCCAGTAGTTTCCAGTGGCACAAGATTTCGACACAAACTGACCATTGGTACACAGTTGATATTTAGTGCAGTCAGTAGAATCTGCCTGGGTTTCTCCATTGGTGCATGGGGCGTTGCCATTGCATTGTCCATTGTCCGTTTCACACTGGCTGGTTTCTGAGTTCCAGTAGTTTCCAGTGGCACAAGATTTCGACACAAACTGACCATTGGTACACAGTTGATATTTGGTGCAGTCAGTAGAATCTGCCTGGGTTTCTCCATTGGTGCATGGGGCGTTGCCATTGCATTGTCCATTGTCCGTTTCACACTGGCTGGTTTCTGAGTTCCAGTAGTTTCCAGTGGCACAAGATTTCGACACAAACTGACCATTGGTACACAGTTGATATTTGGTGCAGTCAGTAGAATCTGCCTGGGTCTCTCCATTGGTGCATGTCAATGGTGGGGGGGAAGTGCTTCCACAGTTGCTGCATTCACCATTGTTTGTTTCGCAAGCGCTGTTCTGTGGGTTCCAGTACATTCCACTGGAACACGTCTTGAGAACGAATTGACCAGTACAGCATGCGTAGTACTTTGTGCAATCCTCTTCGTCGATTTTGGTGTCGCCAGGCTGACAGCAATTGTCGGCCACAGTTCCTAGGAAAAGTGACAATGCAATAACCAGCACGTACACTGAAAGTGGACAGCAGAGTTATTGAAATTAAATTATTATAACATAAAAGTTCGATAAATATCTTACCACTGTCCGATTTTATGCTCTTCATTTTTACACTGCACTTGGCTAGCAACGTTTTCCTTTGTGAAGATAGCGTCGACTGAAGTTTTGTACGATGTGTAGCAGCTTTTATATTTGCTGGCAATTAAAATAATTAAATGTTCCTGGTTGGGATGGGATGCTTGTGCCATAGATAAAGAGAAATCAGATCATATCTGTTGTATACAGTAGTTGTATACTAAAACAAATTTCTTTTATCAAAAAGGTTAAATGAAGACAATGAAATGAGAAATTGCTATTTCTGCAATTGGTGAATTTTTTAGCGATGTATCTTTTTTCATTAGCCTTCTATTCTACGCTGACCTTTTTATAGAAACAGGTTACTTGTCAAAGGCACAATAAACACGTGATAATTTGTTTTAGTTATTATTATAAACTCTGAAATTGAACACCATGCGGAAAAAGGTAATAAAATGTTATGCGACCCTAGAGTGACTATTATATGATACCAAGAGAATATAATCAAATAAACTTTGACTTTCTACTAATTAATTAGTACTTGCTTGGACTCTTCGATAATTCGACACTTTGTTTTAGACATTATTAGTAGACATTTTATTGCTTTTTTAATTTATTGAGCACAAATTTGGAAAAGATATCGTTTTAAAACAAAATTGTATATTCTTGAATACATTTAAATGAAATTGGTGATAATGCAATTGCCATACCACCTATGAAGGGCAGTAACCTTCGGTATCGACAACACATGCCTTGATTGTGGTATCAAAATAAGTGCCACTGGCACATTTTTGACTCGTAAGTTGTCCCATAACGCACAAATAGTAGGCAGCACAATCTTGGGGATCGACTTGTAGCTCGTTTTCAGTACATTTTCCAGTATTGGGACAACACTGTCCGTTATTTAGTTGACACGTCGCTGAGCTAGGATTCCAATAGTTGCCACTCGAGCAAGACTTTGGCACAAATACTCCACTGCAGCAAACATAATAACTGAGGCAATCGATAGGATCCGCCTGGGTTTCTCCGTCCTTGCAACAGTTTGTAGCCAGCGATTCTGTTGAATGCCAAAATAGAAGGCACAGAAGTAGCACTGTGTGTAATAAATAATATTTGTAATTCTTAATACTTTAGATGGATAATATTCTGAACTTCAATTATACCGTATTGGGGCTTATTCAACTGTGCGAGACACATTTTAAGCTATAATTTCCTTAGTATGCGGACGCTTACTAAACTGTTTTGCTGTTCTCTTCGCCTTTTATATTTTTAACCAATCATAATAATGAAATTTTGGTCTGATAATAGGCCTGATAATGTAACATTACAAGATGACCTTATCAAACATGTAAGAAGAGTCGAGTGAAACCTGTTCAGCTGTTTACAATTTATTTGAAAAAATAATTTAAGGAAAAATACACAATCATGCTGCCATTTAAGAAAAATTGTATTGAGCACTAAGGGAAAACTATGAATACGAGTATATGACCTGACGAAGATTAATTATCTGTTATGGGCAGCTAATACATGAATACACAAAAGAACTCAGATAATGGCGCCAGTTGTCGTCGAGAAGATGAACGCTGTCAAAGCCAACTATTTAGCTGCGGTTGCCCCATCAGGAACGAAGTCAATCAGCTCCTAATAACTGCATGAATGCCTGTTAGCCCGGATTTGGAGTTAGAAAATGCAGAAGTGCATGAAAAAAGTCACTCCTAAAGAAGAGTGATGCGCAGTCAAATTAACAGTTGTTGGCTGCCAGTGATGCACTGTGTTGTTGACCATAATTAGTTTTAAGCTATTGGCACCCAAACCATAAATCCAAGAAGAAGAAAGAAGAACAAAATGAAAAAAGTCGGCAATTTGTCCTAAAGAAATGCGCTTGTAGCCATCTCTGTGATTGAGCGCTTTTGCATACATCCATATATTTGCATTTACGTGCTTTTGCGCAGAGGATACATGTAATTGCTTTAAAAATATTTAGAAAGAGGAAGAGTGTTGTAGTCTGGTGAGCTCAACTATGATTTACCCTGAACCCATCTGTTAAATATATTCTAAAACTATTGGCAAATTTCCCTATAATAAGTTTTGCACCCAAATGTGAGCAGGGTTGCTAGTGCACTCATTTTTTATAGCAAGCTCAGGCACTGAAGAGTAAAAGAAAACGGCGCTCTGCAAAATACACACAAAGACATATTGACGCTTGCGTCGATTATCATGTCATCTCTTTCTCACGCATGCGCTCGCATATTGATGCATGCATCTTGCTTGCGGTTGCTGATACAAATGAGATCAATATGATAATATATTTTTGACAATAACTTGGGTGTTTCTTAACTGATCAATAATATGCATATGCATATTATGTGTTAATTAGAAGATTCTGCCTTTAAAATTTTAGCATTTATTGCTGTCGCAAATTTTAATGTATCTATAATCGAGAAACGAAGGCAGTTATCGGTAAAATAACGTAAACTTGATCTGCGCCTGCTATACGAGAACCTATATTTCAAACTTGAAGTCTAGCTCTTATAGTCTCTTAGATCTGCGTGTTCATACAGACGGACGAACGGATGGGCGGACGGACACGGCTATATCGCCTCGACTGTTGACCCTGATCAAGAATATATATAATTTATGGAGTCGGATATGCTTCATTCTGCCTGTTACTTTGCTACTTATTTTTAATGGGTACAGGGTATAAAGAGAAATACAATTTAAATATTTTAAACTTCAACCAAACAAAAACTCTTGGCAGATTAGGGTAATTTCTGGAGAACATTTTATAACTATATATATATGCAATTACGCCAAATTATATTTATAAATACATTCATTACATATGATGCTACATATTCATTTAATAACACACCCAGTTAACGGTACATGTACATTATGGTTTATTTATTTATTTGTACATTATTTTATATATTACATTTTTTTTCCATTCCAGTCAAAAATAACCTTCATACCTAAAGCTGGGAAGCCATCACATACCAGCGCTACAGATTTCAGACCCATCGTCTGTTATTTTTCATGCTGAAGACTCTAGAACGACTCATAAGTCTCTATCTTACAATATCCATCGACTCCAAGCTTCTGTCTGTGTCTCAACATGCCTTCAGAAAGGGCAGATCCATTCTGTAGTCAATATTACAGAGAAATCTCAACTCTAAGAAAATACCCTAATACATTTCTTAGACATTGAAGGCGCCTTCAACAACGTTACTCCGGCGGCGATAACTGGAGCTCTGCTGGACCTGGGGATTGACAGCAGTTTAGTGGGATTGATCAATCAATTGCTCACTTGCAGTATTGTGATATCTACACTTGGATCGTCAACTCTCTTCTGGTATGTCAGCAGAGGTACGCCTGTCAGCCCTACTATAGCATAGCGATAAATTGCTACGAGACATGGATGGGGACGACTATCAAACTGTTCATACGCAGATGACGTTGCGGTAATCTTCAGGGGAAAGTAGCCCCAAACTCTCTGTGACATTATGACTATCAAACTTAAAATACTGTCATGCTGGGCACACAAGTGCGGTTTGGGTGTTAACCCCAATAAAACGAAACTTGTTCTTTTCACGAGAAATTACAAAGTCCATCCTCGTATCCTCGACGTATGGCTGAACTGCGCATATCCGGGGTGCTTCGTAGCACACCTAGTGAGGCACTAGACGCTATCCTGGACTTACCATTTCTGGAAAGACAAGGAATAGAAGAGAGAATCCTTAACGTGGACTGCTCAGAAAACAGGCAATGCTTCTATCTTAGAAGGGAATTTAAACATCCCTTCGAAAACAGATTACTGCGTGCCAGTAGTATGACTAGAAACACCCTTCAGCACATACGTCCCCCCAAGGGAGGAATGGGCTCATGCACTCCCGGTCCACCGGCACCCATAACCTTTTTCACAGATGGCTCAAAGCTAGAAAACCGCGTAGGCGGAGGTGTCTACACTGAGCAATTCAATATACAGCTATCATTCAGTCTCCCAACACATTGCAGTGTTTTTTCAGGCCGAAGTACTTGCTATAAAAGAAGCATTAGATTGCCTAAAAAGGCTCAAAGTCAGCCCCGGCAATGTCAATATTTATATTGATAGACAGGCAGCAATCAAATCTATTAGCGCAGTATCGTCAAATTCGATATCAGTAACAAGCTGTCGCAAATCTCTGCATGAGATGGCAAAACATCATGTTATTTGCCTGATATGGGTTCCTGGACACCAGGATATTGAATGCTGATGAGTTAGCTAGAAAAGAGGCTACCACTCCTCGCGGATAAGGAAGATATAGGTATGCCTTTTGCTACTTGCAAGCTCAATATCAAGGAAGAAAGTAGACGCAGGTCAATTGATAAATGGCGAAATGCAAATTGCGCTCGCACAGCACACCAAATGAAAAAGGTTAAAATGCAGCTTACTTCTAACACCAAAATCACCAAATAATTAAATTTGAATAATATCTAAATTTGAAATTCTTATTAATGATCAAGCTGTTGCCCCACCCCGTATCTCAGCAAGAAGTTTCTTTATCGCCTCTTATAATGGATATCAGAGTATTCAGCAGTCGGAACGTCCAGCCTCAACGTTCTCACCTAACCGAAATTAAGAGACTTTCTCGATGTGCGCGATAAGAAATGTGTGCAGCAATAATTGAAAATCTTCTATTCTCAGATTTGAATGAGTTATTTACCAAGAGAAATATCTTGTTTTATTAAATACTAACAAGAATAACGGATTTCTGATTCACGCCGATAATTAGACCTTGTAGACCGATGTTAATCTGCTAACATATCAATTTCTGTTCAGAGTTCGAAAAAGTTTTTTTTCGTTCTATTGAAAAAAAGTTCGCTTTAAGCAAATAAACCAAAAAAATGTGCCTGAGCAAATGCGAGAACAAGTCTTTGGACCTATTACTCCTATAAAGCTTTATAATTGATAAATCCGATCGCCTCCGACTTCATTAGTAACCGAAGACTTCAAGAAGACTTCAAACATAATCGTAGTAATCATATAAAACGCCATAAATCTTCCTAATCGTTGTTTGATAAGCGTATCTGATATACAAAATCAGGTTAAACTACGTTGGGGTACTTAAAAAATACTCGACAACAGATAGGCAGAATGAAATAATAAAAAAACCATTCATAGTTACTTTCCATTATATTTATTTGTGTGACTTTCGTCGATTATAGTGTACAGTCAACATTATACGAATAGTTGCAAGTCAGCAGCTTCTGATCCCAGTACAAGCCTTGTCCGCACGTCATGTCCACTTCACACTCACACTGGCAGACTACATATGCGCTACAACTGACCAGGGATGGGAACAAGGTGCCCTCGCGTTGGCCCAAACAGCGACCGTTGCTCTCACAGGAGATGCCGGAGGGCCCGGCGTTCGGACCGGATGGTGGTGAATGCTCCCAGGGGCAATCCACATTTTGGGGATAATCACATAACTCATAACTGGAATCGTACAACAGATTGTTGGGGCACACCTGTTCCACGGCACAATTGAAGTTGCACTTGTAGAACTTATTACACACCCCCTCTATGGGAAAGAGCGTACCCTCCGGCTGACCTTGGCAAACTGTGCTTGTGTTGTCGCATTCAACTACCGGCACATAGTCCGCCGGATAGTCACACTGATCCGAGGTGGCATTGTAAACGAGGCCATCGGGACAGATCACAGCACTACTGCCTTCACCGGAAGCCGGTGTATAATCCCAGTCACAAACCTGGGCCAACTCATTGAATTTGGTATTCGCATCGCAGGGCATTGCAATTGGACATTGGCACTGGCAGACGAAGTAACCAGTTGTATCCGGATCGGCAAACATAGCACCATCCCTTTGTCCAGCACAGACGCTCTGATCACTGCAGCTGGTACCCGAAGGACCAACTATCTCACCCGTCGGATCGCTTGGCGTACACTCCACATTCCAGAAATAGTTACACTGATTGATTGTGGGGTCGAAGTACAAGCCGCCGGGACAGGTGACATCCAGACAACAGCCGTGCGCGCAGTGAATATACTTCGTGCAGACCCCTTCTACAGCCAGCATGGCACCGTCCGGCTGGTTAACACAATCTGTGCGTTGGTCGCCGCAATAACCAGGCACAACGTTTGACGGATCCGTGCTGCCAGTAGGTTCATCCGAAGCGGGTGTAGTTCCATCGGTTCTATCGGTTACATCGGTTACATCGGTTACATCGGTTCCATCGGTTACATCGGTTACATCAGTTACATCAGTTACTTCGGTTCCAGCGGGTTCATCGGTTGTTGTCGGTTGTTCTCCACAGGTCTCCGGCGATTGTTGGGCAATCGTAGACTGCGTCAATATGAGCAACAGTAGCCCAATGAAGGCTAGTGTTGATTTGATTTAACTAGAATTCGTTACAGAGAAAACTCCCTTACTCACCAGTAGCTTTTATTTTGAACATTTTCTCCGAATTCTCTTATACCAGCTGAACGTCGAGCGCGACTAATTCACCGTGAAGCCTCTTCAAGAGCATTTATGGAAATGGAAAATATTGGCAATGTGTATGTATTGTATATCAAATCGGTAGCCAATCTTTTTTGATAATAACAAAAACCGTATTTAACTGTTGATTAATTCAGTCGACCTGCTATCGCAGGCGCTGCTGGCGCTGCGTGCATTGCTTCTGTTTAATTACGCCCATGTTTCGGATTCGGTTCCTCTTATCAATATCAGAGCAGGTTTTTGAATTCGAGCCGGGCTCGTGTGAAATGTGCATATTTAGAAATGTCGGCACAAATTAGGCATCTCCAAAATCTTATCACTGATACCCGATTCTGGCAGGAAAACAGTTAACAGTATGCATTGATCGATTGCTATATATAGTGCGATATATTGTATGGATGCGGTATATATAGCCGGTGGTTGGATAATCATTAGTGTGCCTATATAATTTAGTGCCTCTAGCTCTCGGACTTACACGATCAGGTTTTGGGAAGTTCGAGTGGGCGTGGCCTTCCCCTTTGTATTATCGATTCTTAAGCAACAGCTCTCTTTCCCTGTCTCTCTCTTTCTGTCCCTATATATATATCTCTCTCTCTCTCGAAAGCACATGCACGATGGGCGACAGTATTATCAATTCAAAATACTACTACGGAATGGAAATCATTTTATAATAATTCGAAAATGGAAATCATTTTATAATAATTAATAAAAGAAGTAGAAGAAGCACAACTTATTAGGGGAAAAACACATTATAAATTGAACTTAAGATCCAAAATCTTTTATGGATCGCATAATTCGTATAACAAGTTTGAAGAAAAAGAGCCTGAAAATTCCTTGTCTTTTTGATCGGAGATGTAAAATTAAGTTGGCTGATTAACTCAGAAGAATCAATATCACCGTCCATAAGATTATGTAACAAGAGTACACCAGGCATAAAGAGAAGGGAGATTTATTAATAAAAGTTCACTACGGTAGGAAGGTAAGCTAATATTAGTATTCCAATTAAGACCCCTAAGGCAAATAATAGAAATTGCTTTTGCTACGGATTATATTCTGTCCTGATGAGCCTTGCAATTGGGTAACCATATCCAAGACCCATATTCCAGAATAGGACGCACATAAGTAAAATATATAGTGTTTTATTAAGATAGAGAATGTCAAATTCTTTTAACCAGCTCCCGATGAAAGCCAGGTAAAGAACGGCACGATTAGCGGAGGAAAAAATATGCTTGCCAAACTTAAGCTTACGATCTAAAAGGATACCCAAATCATCAACACTAATGCGTTCCAGCTTACATTAAAAATATTAATTTAAAATTCTATAAAAATAATTCATTTGTTTTTCACAATTAAAATTTAATAAATTAAAAAAAAACCACTTCATTTTTGAAGCCTTTGTCCAGTGAAAGAGTCAGTAGACGAGAGGCACAGTTTTACATCATCGCCATGCATCAGTTTCTGAGAGTGATTTATAATGTTAATCATTTTTAATGGGTCCAGAGTCTTACGATTTTATAAATAATAAAAAAAAAACAATTATTCCATAATTCCGTAACCGTAAAGTATGCAATGGAATAGAAAATCACTTCAGATTATTTGTTCTGTTGCTTGTAGAGCATACTTTTATATTATTTGGAGGTTATATATAATACATATATTTAAATGGCGTAAATGAATTTCAAGGTAATAATTAATAATTAATGCATGTTGTTTTTACAATCAGTTAAATTAACAAGTTGCACAATATGCATTTACATATTTATCTACGATATCAATACACTAATCCAGGGATGATCTAGAAATCGTATATCTTAGAGGATCATCCTCCATTGTCTATGACTTTCTGTGGACAGGGTATTCAAAACTGCCCCGGCAATGTCAATATTTATATTGATAGACAGGCAGCAATCAAATCTATTAGCGCAGTATCGTCAAATTCGATATCAGTAACAAGCTGTCGCAAATCTCTGCATGAGATGGCAAAACATCATGTTATTTGCCTGATATGGGTTCCTGGACACCAGGATATTGAATGCTGATGAGTTAGTTAGGAAAGGGGCTATATTACCACTATATCCTTACTGATAAGGAAAGGAAGAAAGTAGACGCAGGTCAATTGATAAATGGCGAAATGCAAATTGCGCTCGCACAGTACACCAAACATTGGCCAATATTATCACAAAGCTGTGTAATCTGAGTCGCACGAACTGCTCTGCAGTAGTCCGAGCTGTAATAAGACTCTGGTTGGTCGGCATTCATGCCAATAGACTCCCGGTGCCGTATAATGATTTCTGCAGAAGCTGCAAAGAAGAAGAAGAGGTAGAATCCCCGGAACACTTATTCTGCTTCTGCCCAGCACTTGCCAGGAAACGGCTGGCAATCATGGGAAGTTACTCCCTAACTAGCCTATCAGAGCTAGCAAAAATGAGAGCGGTCAGGATTGCGAGATTTATCCACGCAACTGGCTGGTCAAATCTCTGCATTTTTGGGGTTTTTGATACAGGATTATAGGAGAAATCAACCCCAGATCCCATAAGGTCGACTCCCCTGAACCGATACCTAACCGGCATAGCTATATACTCGCGTATAACTTCAATGATCCATCAATACGAGTCAAAAGTCAGAGAATGAGACAACTTGGTTAAAAATAAGCCGATTTGCTTCATTACACTGATCTCTCAAACTTACTTCGTTAACAACTTATTAAACAAGCTAGTAGTACTAATAATAGTATTTACAATGGAAAGGTGGTAAATTATTGTCTATACATATGTACTTCGTGTTCTCCCGCCTTATATACTCGCCAAAGCTGTAACTAATTTTTCTTACTCTTATACCAAAAATTGCTGATGGCTTTCTTTAATATATTTATTTCCCGATATCTTGCTCACTTTAAGCATGAAAAAGCTTAAAATGCAGCTTAGTTCTTACACCAAAATCACCAAATAATTAAATTTGAATAATATCTAAATTTGAAATTCCTATTAATGATCAAGCTGTCGCCCCACCCCCTATCTCAGCAAGAAGTTTCTTTATCGCCTCTTATAATGGATATCAGAGTATTCAGCAGTCGGATACGTCCAGCCTCAACGTTCTCACCTAACCGAAATTAAGAGACTTTCTTATGCAGATTCTCGATGTGCATGTTCGAGCGATAAGAAAGGTGTGCAGCAATAATTGAAAATCTTCTATTCTCAGATTTGAATGAGTTATTTACCAAGAGAAACATCGGTTTTCTAATTCACGCCGATAATTAGACTTTGTAGACCGATGTTAATCTGCTGACATATCAATTTCTGTTCAGAGTTCGAAAAATTTATTTTCGTTCTATTGAAAAAAAGTTCGCTTTAAGCAAATAAACAAAAAAATTTGCCTAAGCAAATTTATGCGAGAACAAGTCTTTGGACCGATTACTCCTATTAAAGCTTTATAATATATAAATCCGATCGCCGCCGACTTCATTAGTAACCGAAGCAAATCGACAGTTATATACAGTTATATAAGATATATATTGATAAATCATGAAGACTTCAATCATAATCCAAATCGTTGTTTGATAAGCGTATCTGATATTCAAAATCAGGTTAAACTACGTCATTTACGGTACTTAAAAAATACTCGACAACAGATGGGCAGAATGAAATAATAAAAAAACCATTCATAGTTACTTTCCATTATATTTATTTGTGTGACTTTCGTCGATTATAGTGTACAGTCAACATTATACGAATAGTTGCAAGTCAGCAGCTTCTGATCCCAGTACAAGCCTTGTCCGCACGTCATGTCCACTTCACACTCACACTGGCAGACTACATATGCGCTACAACTGACCAGGGATGGGAACAAGGTGCCCTCGCGTTGGCCCAAACAGCGACCGTTGCTCTCACAGGAGATGCCGGAGGGCCCGGCGTTCGGACCGGATGGTGGTGAATGCTCCCAGGGGCAATCCACATTTTGGGGATAATCACATAACTCATAACTGGAATCGTACAACAGATTGTTGGGGCACACCTGTTCCACGGCACAATTGAAGTTGCACTTGTAGAACTTATTACACACCCCCTCTATGGGAAAGAGCGTACCCTCCGGCTGACCTTGGCAAACTGTGCTTGTGTTGTCGCATTCAACTACCGGCACATAGTCCGCCGGATAGTCACACTGATCCGAGGTGGCATTGTACACGAGGCCATCGGGACAGATCACAGCACTGCCAATCGTAGACTGCGTCAAAATGAGCAACAGTAGCCCAATGAAGGCTAGTGTTGATTTGATTTAACTAGAATTCGTTACAGAGAAAACTCCCTTACTCACCAGTAGCTTTTATTTTGAACATTTTCTCCGAATTCTCTTATACCAGCTGAACGTCGAGCGCGACTAATTCACCGTAAAGCCTCTTCAAGAGCTTTTATGGAAGTGGAAAATATTGGCAATGTGTATGTATTGTATATCAAATCGGTAGCCAATCTTTTTTGATAATAACAAAAACCGTATTTAACTGTTGATTAATTCAGTCGACCTGCTATCGCAGGCGCTGCTGGCGCTGCGTGCATTGCTTCTGTTTAATTACGCCCATGTTTCGGATTCGGTTCCTCTTATCGCAATCAATATCAGAGCAGGTTTTTGAATTCGAGCCGGGCTCGTGTGAAATGTGCATATTTAGAAATGTCGACACAAATAAAGCATCTCCAAAATCTCATCACTGATACCCGATTCTGGCAGGAAAACAGTTAACAGTATGCATTGATCAATTGCTATATACTATAGTGTGATATATTGTATGGATGCTATATATATCGCCGGTGGTTGGATAATCATTAGTGTGCCTTTTGTAATTTAGTGCCTCTAGCTCTCGGACTTAGACGATCAGGTTTTGGGAATTTCGAGTGGGCGTGGCCTTCCACTTTTGTATTATCGATTCTTAAGCAACAGCTCTCTCTCCCTGTCTCTCTCTTTCTGTCCCTATATATATATCTCTCTCTCTCTCGAAAGCACATGCACGATGGGCGACAGTAATGATATTTACATAGCGCCTGCTGCAGCATTCATTTCAAAATACTACTACGGAATGGAAATCATTTTATAATAATACGAAAAATATACAATATATAAGCCAAGTTTTAAGTCTCCATCTTAGGTGACGAACTTGCGTTCATACAGACGGACAGAAAGACGGACACTACACACGACCAATACAAATTTGGCTTTAGAGTAAAACAAATATCGCGGACTCGATTCCGAACTCTTAACTACAAAATGTTACTTGTTGAAATTTAAGATAATGATTAAATACCGTATTGCATTTGATTGTTTTTCTCGGTTAACTGGATCCTAAAATACATTCGTAGATATTATATATATACAAATTACTGTAATTAAAATAACTTATCATAAATATGTGTGAAAATGTCTATGAGTGGTCAAGTGATATATGCTGTTGCTGATATATAATATATATACTTAATATGTTCTTCGATCTATTGCATACATATTCACAATATCATATATATATATATATATAAATTTTATAATGACATAAAATAAAAGCTGTTATTTAAAATCGTTGGTGTGAAAACTTCACTGTTGAAGGGTAGAAATTGGTATTGCCTGAATGAATGGACAAGGATAATATTTTCACCCAACCAACCGAGGGGCGCGCTGCATAAAGTGCAGTTACGAAGATCTCGAATTACCAGATAGACTACTTAACACAACAGTTTGTGGCAAATTGATTTTGCTACGGATTCTATTCTGTCCTGATGAGCCTTGCAATTGGGTAACCATATCCAAGACCCATATTCCAGAATAGGACGCACATAAGTAAAATATATAGTGTTTCATTAAGATAGAGATTGTAAAATTCTTTTGACCAGCTCCCGATCAAAGCCAGGTAAAGAACGGCACGATTAGCGGAGGAAGAAATATGCTTGCCAAACTTAAGCTTACGATCTAAAAGGATACCCAAATCATCAACACATTCAATGCGTTCCAATTGTTTACCATTAAGAAAATATTAATTTGAAAAGGGAATTCGCCTATAAAAATACATACATTTGCATTTATCACAATTAAGATTTAATAAATTAGAACGACACCAGGCTTCAGAACTTTCTAAGTCAGCTTGAAGCCTTTGTCCAGTGAAAGCGTCAGTAGACGAGAGGCACAGTTTTACATCATCGCCATGCATCAGTTTCCGAGAGTGATTTATAATGTTAATCATTTTTAATGGGTCCAGAGTCTTACGATTTTATAAATAATAAAAAAAAAAACACAATTATTCCGTAATTCCGTAACCGTAAAGTATGCAATGGAATAGAAAATCACTTCAGATTATTTGTTCTGTTGCTTGTAGAGCATACTTTTATATTATTTGGAGGTTATATATAATACATATATTTAAATGGCGTAAATGAATTCAAGGTAATAATTAATAATTAATGCATGTAGTTTTTACAATCAGTTAAATTAACAAGTTGCAAAATATGCATTTACATATTTATCTACGATATTAATACACTAATCCAGGGATGATCTAGAAATCGTATATCTTAAAGGATCATCCTCCTTTGTCTATGACTTTCTGGGGACAGGGTATTCAAAACTGTGTTTGACTCGTTGAACGTGTAATACCATTGAGTAACTTGAGCAATATTTCCACAATTAAGAGACAAAACAAATGCATAGACAGGGCAGATGTCGAAGCAGACAAGCAGAAAAGAAATCGTCAGATTATATACATACGCATACACACATAGCTATATGAGATGTACTGTTAGATTGAAATAGGTGTGCACCTTAATGCCTAGAGGCTGCGGTGACAGGCTTCCTGCTTTGGGTCGAGTTAGATGGGATCCGCTTGAAACTGAAACCAAAACAATTCTAATTATTTAATAAAAAAAAAAACACACACACACGCCTAGGTACGCTTGAATTAAATTACCACCGTAAAAAGTAGCACTTAAACGAAGTAAAGAAAAGAAGTGCAACAAATGTGCAATGTCAGAGCTTTCGGGCTTGCAGCTAGACGCATGAGATTGATCCATGGATGGTAGACCTGGGCTTATGGGTGTACATTACACATGGTACGAGTACGACTAGCACATACACAGAATTACAGAGGGTCGCACTGGGTCCATGTGTGGCAGTTAGGAAAAAAAATGAGAAAAAAAAACCAAAGACAGAAGAAATACGAGTTGATCGAAAGTCGCTCACATATTTATGTGAGTGAGTGTACAAGACATGCACACGGTCTATTGTAAAAATCTTCTCAGGTGTAACAGGTTTCGCAGATTTAAGCAGAGGTTGTGACTGTGCCCCACACAGTCGTCAGTGACTCTCGCTCGCCTCGTTATCACTCGTCATCGTGATCGCAATCGCAATCGCAATCGCGTACAGTACAATGAAGGAGCAGTCAATCACTAATAACCTATGTAGCAGCCAGTTCAAATTGAAGAACTGAGATCGATTGGTGCATAGATATCGTCCAAGAATAATTTAATTTCAATTCTAGCACCATTCGAAATCAGTGCTTTGTATTGGAACCGATCAGCGGCGCATTAGCACAAAGTGTTTCAAGTGATTTATCAAAAGTGATTCATGATATTGCCACGATCACAGTCAATTGACTCTAATCACTGTTAAATTGGGTGCATCATTATTACATATTTTGTTTTTTTTTATATACTTATACACATTTGTAAGTATTGGCTAAAAGTGGCGAACGTGATCACGATGGAAGCCGTCAAAGTGCAACGAAGGTTTCCTATTGTCGCTGTGCAGCCGCGTTCCGACTCAAACAGCAGTATATAATATGGGTCACATTTTATATACCTGTCTGTATATATTAAACACTCATCATTTCTTGTTAATTACAGTTTCCACTCTATATAAGAGTTCAGTTGCTAGCAGCACTATAAATCTGTCCTTTGATATTCTAAATCATTAATAGTCAATAGTCAAACTATTTTACCTCAATCGATCTTTATTAACTATTAAAAATTTTACAATTTAAATACATTTTTGTCGGTTGACAATCAATTATCATTGAAATGCGAAATTTTAAATTCACAACACTTGAAAAGTAATCGAATAACATGATTGAAATCTCGCTTAAGAACAGGTTTTATCAACAAATGAGTGGACTTCTTTTTTACCAGTTTGTTAAGATTCGTGAACGCGATCCCTTATAATATGGGTCACATTTTATATACCTGTGTGAATTTAATAAACACAAATTAATTGTTAAGGTTTCCCCAGTGGAATTATGGTAGAAAATATTGAAGTGATGTCTTTATTCCATGAGTGTTATTCTATGAGTGTTCAGTTATTAACAGCACTATAAATCTGTCACTTGATATAAATAATAATTAATTTAAAGCATGGCAGATTTAGCATGAGTCAATAGACAAACGGTTCCACTTTAATCGATATTGAAAAGTTAGTAAAAATTCAATTCGACATTTTTATAGCTTTGTGATAACTAACTACTTAATTTTGGTAAATAAAACAATTTGTTGTTTGACAATCAAAGCATAATACTATCAATGAAATTCGACATGTTAAATTCGCAACATTCTCAAAGTATTATTCGATTGGAATCGCACGTAAAAACCAACTTTATCAGCAAATGAATGGTCGTTTTTTAACCGTTTTGTTAACTTTTGTGGACGCCATTTCTTATCAGATTTTGATGCATTGTAGCCACTTAAGATTTGATTTATTTATACATCTGCTATTAGGGGCGGCATCGATTTGAAAATAATTTCCCAGCTCTTATCAAATATTTTGAGACTTGCATAAATCTTATTTGGCTGACAATAAATCAAAGCATTATTTAGTATAGCTTCGACTGCCAGACTAGTGAAATTTCTATTGATTTTCTTAGTGAAAGACTCGAAAGTCGCTTAGAAGTAAATGATTCCAATCCCGCTCCCCATCGAAGTTGTTCCAAGGCCACGAGGAGCCAAAAATAGCATAATCTGATGCTCTGAAATGTACAGTTTTGCCATTTTGTGTAAAATGACAGTCAGTTGGCAGTTGGCAGTTGGCAGTTGGCGCTGCCCCAGCTGATAGCCGCGCAATGTGACAAATCGAATCTTATCTAAAGCGAGACCCTAATTGCTTTCTTAATATATTGCCCCCCATCATCAGCATTCTGCGAGTAAGACTCACACTATCTATCGTCTCTGGCTATATAATGCACAACTCCCAATTTGCTGGCAGTTAGTCGGTTTGGTTATTATCAAAAGACAAGGCGTTCAAATGAAGCGAGGTGCCCAAAAACAAAATAAAATATGAAATGACATAAGAATAATTAATGTTTGCCATTTGCAGGAAGCGTTGTGATTGTCGTCCTGCTGCTGGCAATGGCTGCCCAGCTGCAGCTCAGCACTCAAGTGGAGTATATGAACAGTAATCAGGATATTTGTCGACTATTTCCGGATAACACAAAGATACGCGAGCCAGGCTACTGCGATCGCTGGATCGTCTGCAAGAACTTAAAGACAACAGAGGGCGAAATATGCACGGGTTCGACATCAAAGTTCAATCTGAACTCAGGCAGCTGTGCAAAGAGTCTTGAGAAAAAGGATACTTATTGCGATGCGCCGTGCACGTCGAAGACTAACGGCTACGTCGGAGACTCTTTCAACTGTGCCAACTGGTATTACTGTGAGAAGGCTAAGCTTTTGAGCAGTGGCGTTTGTGAAGGCGGCAGGTATTTCGACCAGGCGAGCGGGGGTTGCTACTATCCCCAGAACACGCAGTGCAATGCCAAATTTGAGATCTGCCAGATTGCGCCCGTTGGCGTTAAGGTTAAGGACGAGGTCTATTGCAATTCATATATCACCTGCAGCAAGACTGGCGAGATGACTCGCAATGAATGCGAACCTGGAAAGTACTTCGAAGTGTTATCTGGAGAGTGCATCCAGAAGGCGCTGGTTGAATGTGATAAGCATCCCTTACCGGAAGATGCCTGTGGCAACAAGAAGCTGGCGAAGCGAGACACATTTGTTTCCGACGGCGCCACCTGTCGCGGCTATTTATATTGCCGGGACATGGGCTCCGGCATACCGGACCCAGACCCAGTGTGGCAACAGTGCCCTCTCGGAACCTTCTTCAATGCGACGTTGCAACTTTGCCAGGACAAAAGCGCCTGCAAGTGCTCCGAGGATCGATGCGATGGACGCGAAAGTGGCTTCGAACTGATGCAGGTGGCGGGTTGCCACAATTATGTGGAGTGTGTGAACGGGGTGGAGATGTCACCTTTCCGGTGCGACGACGATGAGTATTTTGATATAGAAACTGAGAAGTGTACAACTGAGCCTAGGCATTATCAAATATGCAGTTAAATTCCGTTTGAAGAATAAATTTCTTAAATCAGTGACTTCATATTACTGTCACAGCCTATGCAAATTTACTGGTAATCGGCCAATGCCAAACAACTCTTCTGATGCATGTTAATTTTTACCATGCTTAACAGCTGAATTGAAGTCGCAATATTAGTGATTCATTGCAGTAAAAAGTGCCTGATTTTGAGGCATTTTTTGAGCTTAAGGAAATAGCCTAGAAAATGTGATTAGGAAATGCATATTTATTTTATATTATTTAATAATGTAGTCCAATGTCAATATACAAATGATGTGTGTAAAGCTTTTAATCATAGATAGTTCCTCAAGTAAATATTTTGTGCATTTGATTAAATATTGTAGAAGTGAAGACTTAACCTGTCTAAATCAAATGTTGATTTTTCCCAAGTATTTTTACCGAACCGGAGTAGATATATGATATATACACTGTACCAAATAGATGCGTATGTGTAGAGCCCATAATTAGAGCGGATGAGTTGCCTGATTAATTTACAAACACTTTTTATACTTTTGATTATTAAAAAGCTCAAGTCAGCAAAAAAAATTCACAATAGTGCCTAAAATACCACTAAGCAGTGCACTGCGAAAGCAGTTCGCCCAGGCAGTGCACATTGTTGCACTGCTTATACAAGTTTGTCAAGCAGTTAACACACACTAAGCGCGTTGATTTAAAATGAACCATAAACGAGTAGCAAGTTTGGATATGAATTATAAGCTGTTTAAATAATATAATTTGTTTCTGAAATAGGTAAAACTATAAATTGAATATACCCAATTTATCAAATTGACAAACTATATTGGAATAGCGTTAAAATTGTCATGTAATAGTGAAATTAAAACGACGAAGTTGGGCAAAATCTCCTCAATTCAATTGGGGGCAATTCTGTTTTAGAATTATAATTGTTTTACACTGACCCAATGCGATTTGGGCTTGTCGAAGAACTCACCCTTGGTATGCAACCTGTCTGGATGCCATGGCAACCATTTGCGTATGGAATGGAGAGTCGAGCTGTTAGCTGTTAGCTGTCAGACGGAAGTGCTTCAGCTCCTCCAACTCCAGCAAGGGGTGGTTCAACTCCCATATCGGAGAGTAAAGTACTCCATTTCTGCAGAGCTGCAAGCAGCCTGCGAAATTTCGCTTTTTGCCATGTAGAGACTTTCGCTGTAGTTTTTTTTTTTCAACTTCGATGTGACATGAAATGCAGACCAGAGACAAAAAAAATTAAATAATTTATCATGGGAGTGTGTTAGTAAGGTTAATTGGCTTGCTTGTTTTGTCTGCTTAAATTAATTCAAGAAACGGAATAATTAAATTTGTTCTTTGCACCACATTTAAAAGAGAAAATCTAATATTATTTACATCTCTGATTTTTGGTATCCCAGAACCTATTTTCTGATTGGAGCCTTTGTACAAAAAATTTTAATTTTAAAATAAAACACATTTTACAATTATTCACAGTTTTGAAATGCATTCGGGCTCGTTTAATAGAAACCCATTCAATTATTTTTGACACATGTGATATTTACGTACATCTGTATATGTGCACATATATAATCAGACATACATCGATATATTTGTAGTGCAAAAAATTCGAAAAAATATGGTTTTTACAACGGGTTCGGTTTATAACTGGGCTTACAGTGTGAACCGGTTCGGTTCAAGCCGTTCTGCATTTTTTTTACTACGGCCACACACAAATTGCCTCAGCAACTAATAAATTACTCACGCACATCTAAATGAAAATGTTTTCCATGGTATATAAATTGTTAACATCATAACTTTTGATAAACAAACTTATTAGAAAACAGCAACTTTTTTCTTCTGATTCGACATTAAATTCTTATTCCATGATTTATTCCTATCAATAACACAAAAATTCACATATATCAAACTGTTAAGCGAAATAATATCAAATATAAAAGAATATAGGTAAAAATTTGAATACAACGCGCATCCGAGTTACCTTTAAGCCAAAACTCTCTTAAAGCGACTTTTTTTCATTTAATTTGGACTAAAAACAGTCCATAAATTTTGAAAAATGATTTCAAAAAATTTCAAATTAAAATTCAAGTTACAAATTAAATGATTTACAATGAACAGTGAATAAATCAAATAAAATTGAGAGTTTAAGATTAAAATTAAAGTGACAAATAATAATGGAGTAATTAAAATGAGAAAAAAAATTAAAATTAAAGAATAGAAAATATTTAGGTATATAAAAATGTAAATTGGAATGAAAAAGCCCCAGCATACAAATATAATTCCAAGGGTATCTGTGAGTCGAGCACTTTCGATTACTTATTATTACTTTATCAGGTGTGTTGGGGCACTCAGACAACACCCTGGAAGTTGTGCACGCTTCGAGGGTTGTGCTCGATGCAAAACGATTGTTGTTAGTTTTCTACTCAGTTGTCTTTTGTTTCGATGATTCTAGCAGCGTTTGTGGGTGCCTGCCTCACCTTCCTTGACTCAATTTGTGTGTGAAGCTGCCCGGATTTCTTTTCCTTGTAATACCAAATATATATATATATATATATAAATGCTTACGGAGAGACAGCCACCCTCTTCCCTGTGGATCTAAGCCTGTTCCGTGCTCCCTTCTCTGGTTTCACTGCCTTCAGTGACGGCGTCACGTTCGCCGCACGCCATCGTCTGCCATTTTGGCTTTTCCTGCAGGAAGCTTGCATATTTTACGTGCTCCATGTTGCCATTGTTGTTGTTGTTGTTACTGTTGTTGCTGCTTTGTCTGTGCGGGCATCTGTCTGTGCTATGTGCACTGTGTTCGTTGCTCTGTGTGTTGTGTGCTCTGTGTTCTGTGTGCTGGTGCCCCAACTCTTCACTTTTATCGATTGAAATGTGTCTCAGGCTGTGAAATACAGGTCATTGATCTGCTCGTGCCTTTTTCGCAGCCATGCAGCGACGAAATACTTCTCGTATCATTTGGATTAGGAGTGAGCCGAGCAGCCAAAACCAAGTGCAGCTCGTTTTTATGGCATTGCACGGAGCTGGCTGGCACTAAATTGCTACATATAGTTAGTTAGTCAGTAGAGAAAAGTTTGGTAAGTTGATTACAGGTATAAATAGAAGAACTTTCAAGAGTTTTGTGCAAAAGATCCAAACTTAAAATATCGAATTTGATTGTACAAAATAAATAATAACAAATATGTCTGCTATTATATATAAATATTATTATTATAATTTATTTTTAATTTTTAACAATCAAATTAAAGTTAAATTTGATTTATAACATAAATAATAATTATTAATTTTCTACTTAATATTTGTTTTTTACATTTAAAACGAGAAAGATCAAAACTTAAATAACGAATTTGATCGCAAGAATTAATAAATAAATATTTATAGCATACTAAATAATTAATTAATAACACACTAATATAAAACATAAACAGCGAATTTGAGTGTAAAAAAAAAAATAATAAATATAATTATATATGTATATACAAAATATTAATCGCGTAACTGAAAAACTTACGCTTCGAATTTGATTCCAACAACTGAAACACATTTATTTATCATCACCTACTAATTTTTAATGTGTTGCCCAAAGTTTAATTTTAAGTGAAGTCTAAGATTCGATTTAAATTTGATTGTTCAAAATAAATAATATAAAGTCTTAGCTATCTATTTATTATTAATTTTTTACAATCACTATTTATGCTATGATCTATCGCTAGAAAAATCCTTGAATATAATTTATCCACAAAATAACATTAAGTTTTAAGGTCAATAAATTGTAAAAGGCGATGAAAAAATGTTTACAAAATTATAAATAGTAATTATAATAATTTAATTACAGTTGTTAATACTTAAATTCAGTTTGCAAGTTACAATATCAAAATGTGAATGTAATTTAAGCACGCCAATTGTAGATTAGATAAAAATCTGCCCACACCTGAAATATGATAAATATATACCATGTATATGTTTTATAGTCGTAGAGAATCAACCACCAATTCAAAAACTGAACACGAGCCAACCCAAAAGCGTCTGCCCCAGTCGCCATTGCAGTCGCCGTCGCCGTCGCCGTCGCCGTCGCAGTTGCTTCACTTCCTTGTCACACGGATACCGTGTTGGACAAAAGAGACGCTCCAGGACGCGAACGTGGTCGAGGATTGAGGACGAGGGCATCGCTGTGCCGACGACGAGTGGCAACGATAACGAAATCGTTTTTAGCTTTGGGGTAGTGGAGCAGTAGTCAGCGAGTGGGGCGCGCTTGATGTCATGTTGGGCAAACTGTACCAAAATTGCGCATTGAAATTCGCCAAGGCAACGAGCAGCAGCAGACGGCAGTCCGAGCATTAGACCAGACCAGACCATACCAGACCCGGCCTGGCCTGGCCTGGCCTGGCCCAGACAGTGGTAGAAAGAGAAACCAACTACGACTTATGGCCCAGGATGTGTTTGCCAAAGTTGTAGCTGTCAGCATTTATTTTTGAGGGTTGCACTCCGCCCGGAAAATGGGAATTAAAATAACTGAAAAAAATAAGAGAGAAAGAGGAAGAAGAAGAACAACAACAATATCAACAACAACAACAAAACAAGCAAAAATCCAACAATCGCAACATGGAGACGTCTGTTGTTGGCCATAGCCAGTGAGTGCGGTTCAATGACCAAATGCCGCCGATGGTATCGCTGCATGTGAATTGTCCGCACCTACCCAAAACCCAACGCCACATTGCCACATTGCCACATTGCAACATTGCCACAACGCTCTAATGTGACTAAGGAAAATTCTCGTGGCCGTGGCGAAGGCGCAAACGAGTTGCAAGGTCGATGAACGCTGTTACAGTTGCAGTTGCAGTTGCTTGCTGTTTGCTCTTTGCTGTTTGCTGCTTGCCTCTTGCGGCTTGCAGCAGTTGCAGCTTAAGTAGAAGCTGCAGCTAAAGCGCAGTTAATATCTAGCGTTTCTAGCCAAACACGTTTTTTGCCAAAGCCACTCATAATTTGTGCTTAAATTTTCAAATGTCTGGCAACGCCAACGCTCCCATCAATCAAATCAT